AGGTTTCCTGCCTAGATATATTCCTGACTGTCCATTGGCCAAAACAGCTTTAGTCATGAGCCAATAAAAGCATATTCGCAGCATGCAGGACATCCCAAGCCCTCTAGTAGGGACCTAGTCAGTCTGCATACATCTCTTTCAGTCTACTAAAGAGCTAAGGACATCATACCTTACCTTAACGTCACTGAACCAACAGACCCAGGTCAGTAACTTTTCAGTGCATTTCCCCTTTTAACCATCAATGGCAGCTCATACATGATTCTAGTGTATGCATAAAATTAAAGAAAACCATTGTGGTCTGCTATTTCCCTAATCCTTGCCCTGAGAGCTGAATTATCTCTATCAAGCCCATTCTACAGATGAGACAACTCATGCTCAAGAAAGCCCAAAAGGTTCTCTGGATATATGTGTTGCTGCTAACAAAAGAGCAATGCAATCTTTATCTTCTAGGCTCCTGGCGCAAGCAAGGATTCGGGTTCAAGACTCACCCTTTGAGTTAGGAAACCTAGTTCTGTGATGGTGGCGCAGGGCAATAATGGTGGTCAGACCATTCTTAACTTGCAGAGTATCACCATGTGTCATCCACTCAGGAACAAGTCAAAGAGGATTCGCCAGAGTTACTCTTAGAGACAAAGCTCTATGGCATCATAGAGTGGGGCGGGTGTGTGAATCTCTGTGAGGAGGGAAAGGCTTCCCACTGTCTCCAGGAGATAAGATCTGGAGAGACGAAATGGGTACTGGGGGGTCTGTCATAACCCAGAGAATTAACACTGTGGCTGGGAAACAGAGCTGAACTGGGGTCCCCTACAAGAGCAGTACGTGCAGCACCGAGCCAACTATCAGCCTATTCTCCTTTCCTACCCAAGTGAACGGCTCAGTCCCTGCTCCGTGACTTTAAGACAGTCCTTGGGTTTTGAAGTGTCTTGGCCCATCTATTCTTGCCACACTCTTGATCTCAGTGTCTTCCGGCCAGTGCCACTTGCTCCACCCTTGTGAGCCCAAACAGCAGGCTGTCAGATGGCACCTCAAAGATTACTTCTGCTCTTGGAAGACTGTCGTTGGAATTTTGTTTGGTCCACCAATCAGCTCCCAAATAACGGCATGGAGACTTAGTGATTATGAATGTGTGGCCTTAGCTTAGGCTTGCTTCTAGCTGTTTTTTTTTTTAAACTTAAATCACCCCATTTCTATTAATTAGTGTTCTGCCCCAAGGCTCATTTACCTCAATCTACATACTGTCCATCCTTTCCTGCTTTTTCTGTGTCTGGCTGGTTGGCCCTGGATAGCTAGTCCCCTTGCTGGCTAGCTGGCTCCCCTTTTCTCTTGGTCCACCAGTCCCATCTAACTCTCTTCTGCCTAGCTATTGGTTGATCAGATTTTTATTAGACCAATCAGATACCTTAGGCAAGCAAGGTAAAATAGCAACACAGCTTTACATAGTTTCTTGTTGTTGTTGTTGTTGTTGTTGTTTGTTTGTTTGTTTGTTTGTTTTTGTTTTTAGAGACAGGGTTTCTCTGTGGCTTTGGAGGCTGTCCTGGAACTTGCTCTGTAGACCAGGCTGGTCTCTAACTCAAATTGATCCTTCTGCCTCTGCCTCCCGAGTGCTGGGATTAAAGGCATGTGCCACTAATGCCCAGCATCTTTACATAGTTAAACAAACTATGCAATAAACAAGCATAAACAAATGCAACATGTCTTTACATAGTCGAACAAATATTCTGCAACACAAATGCAACATAACTTTACACAGTTAAACAAATATTCTATTCCACAGAACAAGATCTCCTTTCTTTTGGATTGTTTGTTGAATAGGGGCCTCACTACACATTCCTGGTTGACCAGGAACTTGCTGTGTGTACTAGACTGGCTTCACATTTGTAGTGATCCCCCTGCCTCTGTGCCCTGAGTGCTGGTACTCCACCCAACATTCTTTTGAACTTTATACATAAGAAACTGAGAACTCCTCACAATTAAATGTCAGGTTTTTTTAAAAATCCAAAATGTAGTTAGAGATTAAAGTGAACTAAGAATTATGAAACCATCTTAAACTATTCTGCTGTTGTCTGAATGGACTGTCTCTCACGGTATCACAATTGCAATGTTTTGTCTCCACATGGTGGTTTTATCTGAGGAAGTCATGGAAGCTTTAGAAAGTGGGGCCTAATTTGAAGGTGTAAATCTTTTGACAGTGAGTACTTGAGGGCATATCCTCTCCAACCTGTTCCCATTTCACTCTCTCTACTTCCTGTCCACATCCAAGACAGGAACTTCCCCTTGCCTTCCCAGCCATGATGGACTGGAAACCTCTTAAACTGAAGCCGGAACAAATCTTTTCTCTATTAAATTGTGCCTGCCAGGTACTGTGGTCGTAGGATGCTAAAGTGACCAATGCTCCAAACCTAACAGGCTTCAGCTGTATTCTGAAGGGAGGCAACATTACACAGAAGCCAGTCACACTAATGTCACAGTTCTTCCTCTTGATCAGCAGTGTTTGTTTTCTTCAAGGACTGGGAAATGGCCCAATCAATGAAGTACCTGCTATGCAGGCATGAGGAACTGAGCTCAGATCCCCAGCACACGTGTAAAAACCAGGTCTGGAAGTACAGGGAGGGGTGCAATTAGACAGTATATCCCTTGAGAAGCCTCGCTACCAGTCTAGCTCAGTGAAAGAAGTCTAGCTCAGTGAAAGATTTTGTTTCAAAAGAAAAGGTGGAGAGTCACAGAAAAAGAAACCTGACATCAACTTCTGACTTCCATGCATGTGCACACATACATGTATGCACATACTTGTGTTCAAACACACACACTTCGTTCCCAATGGATGGACAACATTTGGAGATAAACATACACATCTTCTCTACACCTATAAAATATGAACACATAATTAGAAATCATTAAAAATCAAAACCACAGCATTATGTGGTGTGATGGCCATGCATTTTAATCCCAGCACTCAGGAGGTAGAGGTAGGCAGATTTCTGTGAGTTCAATGCGACCTTGGTCTACACAGCAAGTTTCAGGATACCCAGGGCAACATAGAGAGACCCTGTCTCCAGAATAAAATTTTAAAAAGAATGTATTCAAAGGCAAAATGCAAAAAGTAGCATGTGTTACAGACTTTATTCCCAGGAATTCTCTTAACAGATTTAACCCTCAGAGCAACCTTTTGGAGCACTTTTGCTACATCTGGGTTGGAAAACTGGCATCCACAGAGAAGTTCAGGAATTAGCACAGGGTCAGAGTTGGCAAGCTAGGTATCTACATCCATGAAATTGGACTCTGGATCCCAGAGTCAACCATTATTCTGTTTTAACCCCCAAGATGGCAGACATTATGTCTACAGAGTGTAAACCTGTAACCTGACAGGTTGTGGTGGCCCAGGCCTTTAATCCCAGCATTAGGGAGATAGAGGCAGAGGATCTCTGTGAGTTCAAGGCCAGCCTAGTCTCTATGTTAAGTTCCAGAGCATTCAGTAAGATGGTGCATCACAAACAAAATTGTAGCCTCTTTCAACTTATAATACACAGAACCCCATATAGAAAATATCTTAAATCCAGGGCTCCTATCAGAAAGACACAGAATGAGCAGAGTCGCTGCTGAACTGGGGTAGCTGCATCCAGGAGTCTGGACACTGCTGGGACTCCCTCTTTGTGCTCCCCGCTGTGTGTCCTCCAGGTCAGCTCGTGTGGGTCACCTGATGAAGAATTTATGCAGCGAGGTTCCAGATCCATACCCCAGCACCAGCGTAAGAATCTGTTCATTTTGGCTGGTTCCAGATAAGAACAATTATTACAAAATACTGTTGGCCCAGTTTAGGCCATATACCCATCCATGGGCCAGTCACCCAGACCAGGGAGAGAGAAGGCAATTAATTGTCCTTTCTTGGTCCTCCCTCTGAGATCTGAGGGGCTGGGTCTGTATCAAAGGACAAAGTCCTAAACAAGAAAGAAAACACGCAAACAGAAGACCTTATAGTTTTTGAGAATCTGCAAAGTGCCTTCACGTGATCATTAACTTTGAGTCCCCCGCGGACTCTGGGAAGAAGGCAAGCCAAGTATTACCAAGGACACCGCAGTGGGCTAAGATGCTCACAAAAACTTAATTTCCTCCTAACTTGAACTTGGGCTGGCCCTGACACTTAGCCAATAAAAATGCGGCAAATTTTTACAGTTCCTCAGCTTCCCTGCAAAAAGCACGTAGCAGCCTCACTCTTTTCCCCGGGGAATGCTCTCTTAGGACACTGAAAACACAGCGAACAAGCAGTGAGACAGACGTCCGGTGTCCCCGGCAAAGGCTCAGGGAGGCAGGCACGCCACTGTGTGAACACTTCCAGCAGAGCACTTAGCTAGAGAAGCGGACGCCAGGTGAGAAGAAGACGCCACTCTGGACATCCCAGGGTGGCTTGGTGTCCAGCAAATACAGGTCTAAAGGGAAACTTTGACTCCAGTGCTTTAGGGTCCCAGCTAGAATGTAGCAGAGCCGCGGCGAGCAGCCTGAAGCTCTCGCCAGCCTACTGCGCTGGCTCTGACTGCTCGTGGCTTCCCACTAAAGACGGAACGCGTCTCAAGCCCCAGTGTCCACTGGAGAACGTTCTGTCCCTGTCCAAGGCGTCAGCCAGGTCGAGCACGCAACCTGTCCAAGCAGCGGGTCAACAAAGAGAAGCTCCAAGCGCCAGGCGACTGGACCAAACGCGCCTCGAGAACATAAAGGACTAACGCCCCTTTGCCCGGCTCGCCAGACCCTCGCGGCGTCTCAGCCTCCGGGTCTGTGACACGGCGCCAGGGAGGAAGCGAGACCGCACACAGGGCAGTTGTGAGACACAATGGCCCGCCCGCGGCGCGGAACTGCGCGTGCGCGCATGGAGGCAGGGCTACGCATGCGCGGGGCTACTAGCGCGGAGGCGGGGGCAGGGGTAGGGGCGGGGTCTCAGCCCGGCGCGGCCAACCCGGCGGCCTCGGCGGAGGCGGGACCGGGCTGCTTCCCGCCGTCCGCTCCCGCCATTGGCGGGCCGTTTGAATGGCGGAAGTGACGAGAGCCTGGCGATGGCCGTTCCGCAGGGGCCCGAACGGCTGCTGGGTAGCCGGCCGCCTGCGGACGCCCGTGTGCCGTGAGGTCCGGCCTGTGCACACGCAGTCAGGTGAGTGACGGAGGCCCGGCGGGGTTCTCCCGGCGGGCCGCGAGCAGGCGGGCGAGCCTCCCGGCCCTTTAAACCTCCCCGAGCCCGGTCCCGCAGGGAGCGGGGCGCCTCCGTGGAATCCGCCGCCCGTAGCTCCTCGGCTGCACTCCAGTCACAGCCAGCTTTGGAGGGGAAAAAAAATGGCAGCAGTGCCAGCCGGGGAGTGTTGGTTCACCCAGGGATCCCAAGCACTCGGGACGCGGGGCTGAGCAGTCGTGCCTCGACTTCCAGGCTAGCCTATGCGACGTAGTGACACGCTGCCCCGAGAAGAAACGACGGCCGCGAATGGTTGTTAGCCTTTATTGTTATTATTGCTATTATTATTATTATTATTATTATTATTGAGTGTGTTCGGCGGTTTCGCAGCAATTGATGTCAAACAGGAGTTAGTTGCTTGAGTTGAAAACTTTTTCCAGTACATCCCATTGACATTCTTAAGAAAAACAAAGGGCAAACTCCACTTAATACAACCCCGTGTGGTGGGTATCACTCCCCTTACACGGAGTCAAGAAACGAGACCCAGGGGATTTGAGACTTGGCTACCGCCCTCTGCTAATGAATGCCAAAGGTGGCTCTTGGCGTCCTCAGCGTACGTCGTGTTAATGTTGTGACTGCTGTGTGTCAGCCACTACCACCTAATCCTCAGAATTAAATGTATCAAGGTAAGCCCTGTTTGTATCTGTTATTGCCCAGTTACGAAGCACGGATGAAAACAGGATTCTTTCTACTTGATAGCTGCAGAAGGAATAGTTTTCTCCTATGGGAAGCAACTTAACGATATTCCTCCCTTGGGCCCCCAGCTGTCTTCTGGAGTTTGCTTTTTGTTTTTCCTAAGAATGTCAATGGGATGTATTGGAAAAGGTTTTCAATTCAAGCAACTAACTCCTGTTTGACATCAGAGCCCTCTTGTGTATAGTCATGACTGGGCCTGCCCATGGAGTACTGTATAAGTCACTGTCTCATTGAGTCCACCCTAAATTATCTATAAAGTGCAAGACAGTCTTTTAGACAAAAAAAAAAAAAATGTAAGGTGATGAGTACAACCATCCTTGTCCTGGCCACACTTGTGATGGAGAATTCACTGGAAAGAAGTATTGGTTCCTACTAGATTACCCAAGCACTTCTTCAAAACAGTGTTTTTAAGTTATTATGTTTACCTGTTGAGAGTTTAAACAAAACTGTAGCTACTGTCACTCTACAAAAGACAAATAATAATTAGTGAGAAACTAAAGTACAAGCCATCCCTTCTGAATGGATCTGCATATAGATAGTCTATATTCTAGGTGAATGAGCAGCTCATTCTTAGAGGACAGCGCCTCAGAAGAGGCCAAGCTTCAGCTAGCTTCACAGAGCTGTAAATATCCAGCAGCACAGTTTGCCTGCTCATCGCTGTGAAGACCAGAGAGATGTGCTCTCTTCTCACGTAAAATCATGACGTGTTGTAACGCTAAGGGATTGTGGGAGCGGGCTGGTAGCAGAATTACTTGGAAAGAGTTTTCAAGTTATGTCAGCTATAGATTATCACAGTCTAGTTTCCCATACCCCCTTCCTCTAGATAAGAGCATGTTAAACGTTCTAGAGAAGAGGAGTGGGATTGTAGCACAGTGAAGGCATGGCCATGTACAAAGCCCTGAGTTTCCTCTCAGAACCACAGAGACAGGAAAGACATGTAGGGAGGGCATCGAGGACACCCAAAAGTAGCAATAGAAGAACAGGCCTGGGAATCTAAGTATTTCATATGTCCAATTAGGAGTATTCTATAGTTTTTTTAAAGTGGTCATTTTTTTAAAAAGGATAACATATATCCTGTTTAGTCTTGTGTCACCACGACACAAGCTAGAGTCATTTGGGAAGAGGATCTTCAACTGAGAAAATGCCCACACAGAATCAACCTGGAGGCACATCTGTAATACATTTTCTTTATCTTTTTTCTTTCTTTCTTTCTTTCTTTCTTTCTTTTTTTTTTTTTTTGGTTTTTCGAGACAGAGTTTCTCTGTGGCTTTGGAGGCTGTCCTGGAACTCACACTGTAGACCAGGCTGACCTGGAACTCTCAGAGATCCGGCTGCCTCTGTCTCTTGAGTGCCCGGCTTGTGATACATTTTCTTGACTAATAACTGATGTGGAAGTGCCTGACCCACCGTGTGCTGTGCCATCACTGGTCTGGTCTCGCTGAATGATGTAAGCAGGTTGAGCCAGCCAGTGAGCAGAAGGCCTCCATGGCCTCCACATCAGCTCCTGCTTCCATGTTCTACCGTTTGAGTCCTGCCCTGACTTCCTCAGTGATGGACTGTGGTGTGGAACTGTAAGCTGAAATAGTCCTTTATTCCCAAGTTCCCTTTGGTCATGGTGTTTTATTGAAACAATAGAACCCCTAAGTAATTATAACATGTTTGTAATGGTTGAGGAATCTTTTAGACTAAGCCCATGGAATTAATAAAATTCAGTGACATTTAGTGACACTAAGTGATTAAATTGTGTACAGCAAACCAGGGGCCCTTAAAGTTTCCTTTTTCTTTTTGTTTACATACAGGTTACCAGTGTTAAGATGGTCTTGAGAAACCATCTCAAGAACATTTATTTAGTGCCAACACATCTTTTAAGTGCTTAATAAACTTTGGAAATGCCAAAACAGGAGAAAATTAACGTCTGAAATCTTGTCAGTCACTATAGGTGGGGACAGACTCCTAAACAATTCTACCCACTTGTCATTTTCTTTCTCACCCACCTGACAACCGATGATCTAAAGACCAGACTTAGAACAGTTTGTGGAAAAGTTTGTTTGCCTGTGCTATTTTACATGTGGGTTTGTGTGTATATTAACACACTGAAGTCTTGAAATCACTTTCATTGTTGCCCTATTTCAGAATTTATATTTTACAGACATTCATCTATTTATTTCTCTTCAATTCAGATCCTTTGTATTTAAAATACACGGAAATGAAAAGAAAGGTAATGAACACTGGAAAGCTGAGATTGAGTCCTAATGAGGAAGCCTTCATTTTGAAGGAAGATTATGAAAGAAGACGGAAACTAAGATTGCTTCAGGTATCATTTACTTAGAGTTTTAGTTTTTTGTCTTCCTCTTTTTCTGCCCTTCAAAGAGCCCTGATATTTTATGCTTTGGTAATTGCATGTGTGGATGTAATGTATTTAGATCATATCCACCACTCCCTTCTCCCTTCATTTCCTCTCACATTCTCCTTACTTCAGGCCATCTTTCTCTTTGACTTTTACTTTTTTCTTCCCCACTGAGTCCGTTTACTTCTGCCTGCACCTATGTGTATGTACCACCATCCACTGGGGCATGGGCAACTGACCTTTGGACCCCATTGCTGAAGAAAACTAACTCCCCGTGGTTATCAGCTCCCAATAGCTCCTTAGCTAAGGGTGGGGCCTTATGTCAGCAACCCAAGTCCATGTGTGTACCAATGCAGTTATGTATAAGAGATGTTATTTTGCAGTCATCTTCCTCAATTTCTGCCTCTTAAAATCTTTCTACCTCATTTCTGAATAACACATGGTTGGTGAAAATTAGAAAAGGAAGCTTAGAATAATTTTGGAAAAGATTACTAGAAAGATGAAACAGACTTATTTATATGAGCTTCTAAGACACATTTATTAGGAAATTTTAGATTGCCCTTTAAGCTTTCTATTTAGAACCAGAGATGGTGTTTCCTGGAAAGGGAACTCTCACCTGACTTCGTTGGCTGTGAAACTTGTGAAATCGCCTTACCATTTTAGCATTGTATATATTATTAGGGGTAGAGGGAGCAGTTGAAACAAATCAGTTAAGGGACTTTAGAAACAGGGTTGGAAGTTGCTAAGATGGCTGAGTCGGTAAATGTACTTTACTGCCAAGCCTGGTAACCCAGGTCCTATCCTGGGGACCCTCATACTGGAACTCATGCAGGTTAACCTTTGACTCCTGTGCTACAACACACACACAAATAAAGGAATGCAGTAAGTATTTCTAAGCAACCCCCTTTTTTTTCTCTGTCAATTGGCTTTTTCTGCTAACCATAGTCCTTACCTAATGAGTGTTTAGAATTGATGCACCTGAAGAGAATTCATTTGAATTCTTAGTCACAATTAGATTTTTACAAATGTTTAAATCCCCTTCATTTTTTTATATGAAATACTCATCTTTCAGGTTCGAGAACAAGAAAGGGGCATTGCCTTCCAAATAAGAGAAGACATAAAACAGAGGAAAAATCAGCAGTTTTCACGTTTGGCAGGGGAACTAAGGGCAGAATGGGAAAAAGCACAGAACCAGAAAATACAGAACTTGGAAAAACTGTATTTGGCAAGTTTAAGACATATGGGAGACGGACATCGACAGGCGAAGGAAAATGTGAGTGAGCGCACCTCCTCACTGATTGAGGCAGTGTGATTGGTTATATGAAATTGCATTGGGGGAGACGGCTAACCTTATTTTCTAAATCAGTCTAATCTGCTGTGAGAATAATGATGCTTCCTTGTAAATCATGCCAAGAACACCTCTGGTGTTCAAGTTAACGTTATCTCTTCCAGTTCTTGCCTGCATAAAAGAGGATAACCTATGAAATCATAAATTATCTGTCTCAGGCAGTTTGAATAGATTCAGGGGACTAAATTCAGATTTCCAAATTCAGATTCATTCCTAACATCTCTAAATACATTAGTGAATTCAGATGCACTTGTGTTTCATTGATGGCTTTCCTAAAAGCAAAGGAAAGCTCAGTGTTTCAACAGGTCCTTGAGTTCATTTGTTGTTTAATGTGATTTATGACTAGAAAATAGTAGTTTGATCAGGTGTGGTATACATGGATGTTTGTAATCCCAACACTCAAGAAAAGAGACAGGAGGACTTCCTTAAGCTCTGAGTGAGCCTGGTCAACATAGTAAGTTACAGGTCAGTCAAGGCTACATAGCAGAACTGAATAAGAAGGAAAGGGGAGAGAGGGAGGGGGGAATGAAGGAAAGAAATGCTAGTTTGTCATCCCAGAGTAGTCTCAAATAAAAGACAGATCTTTAATAACAATTATTGAGGAAAGGAATGCTTGGAAGTAATGTAGCAGCTTGATTTTTGTGTGTTTTTACCAGTAGCCCTAAGTTCTAATGTTACTTTATTTATTTACTTATTTGCCTTGTGTTTAAACATTTTCCCAAGTCTAACTCATTTGAATGATATGCATATGATTTTTGCAGACTGGAGAACCTCCTATAGTACTATAAATTTGGTGTTCCAGTTTAAATAAAACATTTTATTGTTTAATTTAACCCTTGTCCAGAGTAGCTTGATATTTTATGTTTTCATACTAAGCTAAGTGATTATTACTATGGCATGGTGGTGGTACCACTTCTGTTCTTTGGAAAATGTCTGTGTACTATGGGAAGGGATGACGAAATTGAAAGGTAACTTCTGGACTGGAGAGGTGGCTCAGTGGTTAAGAGCACTGGCTGCTCTTCCAGAGGTCTCGAGTTCAATTCCTTGTAACCATATGGTGGTTCAACCATCTATAATGAGATCTGTTGCCCTCTTCTGGCATAAAGTTGTACATGTAGCTAGAGCACTCATATGTAAAATAAATAAATCTTTAAAAAATGAAAGGTGATTTCTTTGTTGATGTCAGACACATTTCTGCTCATCTTATCCAACATGACTTTTTAAGTAGTATATGCTTCTAGGAACCTGATTTGGATGCTCTGGCGCGACGTGCAGCAGAAAGAAAAAGAAAAGCTGAAATGAGGCATAAAGAAGCCCTTAAAGTGCAGAAAAATCAAAAAGAAATGTTAATGAAACAGAAAACCAGGTAACATAACTTTTACCATATTTTCAGCTGAGATCAGTATGGCTAGAAAACAGGGCGTGTAGGAGGCTGTGTCAGGACATCCTAAATAAAGGGTTGTTTATTCATTGCACCCTGAACTGTGCTTACTAATGCAGCAGGGGGTGATTTTCTTGGTGAGCTATCCTTCTGAGTCCAGTGGCAGTTGCTAAGTTTCGGAAGAAATGTGTAGACAGTTCAGACTCAATATCAACCAGAAACTGTCTCTGATGTAAAAAGGAAGTTAAAAAAATATTTATGTGATTAAAAGCATTAAAGAGATCTTGGGACAGGACATGGTGGTGCACACCTTTAGTTCCAGCACTTGGGAGGCAGAGGCAGGCAGATCTTTGTAAGTTCAAGGCCAGCTTGGTCTACATATCTAGTTTCAGGCCAGCCACGGACAGAATATTTTGAGAAAGAATAGTGAGACTCTGTCTGAAAACACATAACAGCATACACACAAGGTCATGGACTATAAAACTTCAGTCATTAGTAATTTTTGCTTCCTGTTACTGGTCTGCACTGGTCAATTTACGCAATAGCCTATCTTTAACATTTCTAGTTCTGCTCTTACTGTAAAGAACTCTAGACTACTGGTTCTCAATGTGTAGGTGAGGTCAGACAGCCCTTCCACAGGCACCTAACACCATCGGCATATCAGATATTTGCAGTATGCTTCATACAGTAGCAAAATTACAGTTATGAAGTAGCAATGAAATAATTTTATGGTGGTGGTCCCCACAACCTGAGGGACTGTATGAAGGGTTGAAGCATTAGGAAGGCTGAGCACCACTGCTGTCTGATTATTCACTTGATCCTCCTGTGTTTGGATAAGCTTCTTGTAGTTGGTAAACATGTTCTGACATGTATGCTGAGTCAAACAGCAAATTGGGTGTGGACTCAGCTACAAGATGAGTCTCTGGCTTTTTTATTTTTAACTGTGTACTGGTACCAAGTAGATGCCTTTCTGTTTCTCTTGGTGACAGCAGGTATTACCTGAGAGACTAATTGGTGGCATCTCTTGTCTTTTAAGGCACATAAAAGCCCGAAAGGAAGCTTTGCTTGTGGAAAAAGAGAGATCAGCTAAAGTGGCCAGGCTGCCACCTCCTGTTCCAGCCCCTTTTGAGGTGAATTGCCTAGAGCTTTGTTTAAACACGTTTTAATTGCATAATAATATAGGAGTAGACATGGAGTATTTTAAAATTCTAGATGTTGTTTTATGTGTAAATCTAAGTGTTACCTATTGCCTACTATGTGTTGAGTTTTCCCTGGTGGGAATTCGTTTTTATAGTCCTAATCATTCTGCCTTTTTTTTTTAGAGCCTTTGTTAGTTGTCTTATAGACAACCCATATTCTGGCTTTGGCTCACATCAGATAAAGAATGGTTTACAGTCGTAAGGTCATGAGGACTTTGTTATAGGAGTAGGTGTGCTTTGTGATTAGCCTCAGTTTTGCTTACATGTTTGAAATAGTTGAGTCTTGTGAGTACTAGGAAGAACATGCTGCCTCGTACCTATGTTCTCAGCGCGTGTGAAGCTGAGGCAGGAGATGGCTAGTGATCAAAACAGACTGTTTCAAAAGAAAGAAGGAAAAGGAAAGAATCAGTTCTTTTATTTATATCAGCATTTTGTAGTTATTGGAGTGGCTGTATAGATAACTATCAAAATTACAGTTACTTTATATGAAAAGTTAAATAGAGACTTTTTAAAAAATCTGAAAACTTAATACTGCACAAGTGTGTCTCTCCTGTGTGCGTGTGTGTGATGAGTGTGAGTGTCAGGCTCTGGGGTCTTCCCTTCTGTCAGCTCCCCTGCTCTCACCGGGCCACCTGCCAGGTGACATAAGATCCAGTGAGGCCCAGGGGACGGTGTCCTCTTTTAGCCACTCCCCCGGGACCATGCAAGATATTAGAAAGGCAGGCAGTATTTTAACCCATAATGCCTTTTGATAGCTTTTATTATAATCTCCAATGTTCATAAGCCAAAATAGCTTCTTGAAGTGGAATGCTTCTTCAGAGTTCAGGATGGGTAGAATAATAAGTTCCAGGGTAGCAAATTTGTTGTCCGTGTGTCGTTGTCGTCGTCCGTGTGTCCGTCGTGTCCCCCCCCCCCGTTGTCTTGTGAATGGCATTCTGGAGGTATTGAGTGTTATTGTTCTACACACAGCTATTGGTTTTATTGTTGTTGTTTGTTTGGTTTGGTTTGGTGTTGTTTGTTTGTTTGTTTGCTTTTCAAGACAGGGTTGCTCTAGTTTTGGGACCTGTCCTGTCTCTGTAAACCACACTGCCCTTGAACTCACAGAGATCCACCTGCCTCTACCTCTCAAGTGCTGGGATTGAAGGCGTGCGCTACTACCGACAAGCTGTCATTATCCTTTCATATCCTGGTAATTGAGGAGAAGGCTCTTCAAGCTGTCTCTATTGATGCTGGCCTCCCCCCTGGTGGGGTTTAAATCCAGTGGTAGTTTACAGCAGAGCAGAACTCAGGCTGGAAGCTAGATATTGACAGCAATTTAAAATCACTTACAAATCATCCTAACAGTGCTGACAGTCTATGCACTTATTTGATAAAACTCTAAAGTCTAGCTCCCTGGAGATTGTGTTTTAACTACCGATTGGTAGAGTAGTTAAAATCTGCCTGCCCCTGCTTTATGAATGCTGAGACTAAAGGTGCGCCACCAGCACCCACCATGTTGTGTGATTGTACTGAACCTTAGTTCGCAAATTAACTGCTGGTGCATATTTGTAATCACAGCACCTAGAAGGTAGAGGCAGGAGGATCAGGAATATAAAGCCATCAACTGTAGCAAGTTTGAGACCAGCCTGGGGTGCATGAGATCCTGTCACAAAAATAAAATAATCAGCTAATGTTTTCATCAGTAGGAAAATATTCTTTGTTCATTTTTTGACCTCAGTTTAAGACTTTGAATAGGATCACACTATTCACCCTTTGCTCCCTGTGTTTCCAGGCTCCCATCAACATTTTCTGACTTGTTTAAATAGTTCTTAGTTTGAACGCCGGGCAATAGTGGTGCACGCCTTTAATCCCAGCACTCGGGAGGCAGAGGCAGGCGGATCTCTGTGAGTTCGAGGCCGGGCTGGACCGACAGCCTCGAAAACAATACAGAGAAACCCTGTCTCGTAAAAACCAAAAAAAAAAAAAAATAGTTCTTAGTTTGAACTGAACATTTGCCACCTGGGAGGTTAAAAAATTAGTGCAGAAGAATCTCAGGAAATTGTTCTGTTACTTTATTTTCTGTTTATAGTGCCTAACTTGGACAGAGTGGACACTCAGAAGTCCCTTGTTTAGTACAATTGATTTAAATACATATCAGGACATAATAAACTATAATGGGCTAAATCTACTTTTATGCCAAAGTATTGGAAGCAGGAAATTAGCTTATTTCATCTTTTTGAGATTTGCGGAGTTAGTGAACTTAAATTAGCTAGTGTTTCTACACCAGAACTTAGTTCATGATTAAACATTGAGGAGTGAGATTAATGTAAACTCTAGTGGGATTTTTGTGATTAATTGTGTATCTATCTTGACTGAGTGTGTCTTGTAAGTACATTTTTTATTCAGGAGACTTGAAAGTGTTCTCAGTTCTGTACCTCAGTGGTTACAGTCCCCAGTAAAGAGTAGGGTGTAGGAGACACTATAGCAAAAATAAATGCCTCTTTAAATAACTTAGAAGTTAGAGTGAACTTCTAAACTGAAATAAAAACATTGACTATAGTACACATATCTAGAAGGTATCTGAAATATTAAAAGATCTAGTACTTTTATTAAAACTTAAAGTAATTTAACTCTGAAAAGATTTATTTCATTATTAAGCAGATTTTAGCATTGGTTTTGTTTTAGTGCATTTTTTGTTTCTAATAATACAATGCAATAGGCAAGGTAATTCATAGAGAAAAGACTGGTTCATGGTCTAAGGCTGATGGGCTTCATCTCATGGTGGTCTTACTAACAGTCATGAGTTGCTGGAGAGCATCAAAGCCATAAACAAGATCTAGGCAAATGGCTTTTGTAGCAGACTCATTTTAGAAACAGTTAGCCTTGGAATTCATTAATCAGTTGAAAGGATTAATCTGTTCATTAGAAGTACCTCCCCAATAACCCCAGATATTTCTACCCTTTTCCCTCCTAACCTCTCCTAGTGGGGATTAAATTTGAACAAATATGAGAACAAACCATAGCATGAATTAATACAGTTTTGTGACAATGCATACCTGTAATCCCAGCGCTCAGGAGGTTGAGGCAGGAGGATTGCCATAAGTTCCAGGCCAGCCAGGCTCCATAACAAAATATTGTTTCAAAAATAAAAGCAATTTTACTTTTTGCATTGGATCTATATTTATTGAAAATGTGTGCTTTTAACCTAAACTCTAATTTTATGTCCTATTTTCCAGAACATTGAACTAAACAGAATTCCTTCATTGAAAACCAATAGTTCCACCTATCATCACATTTCCACTTTTGTGAGTAGACAGATGGACACAAAACAGGTGATTGACTTACTGTATGTTCATAACCTCAATTGAGTTTTATCTTGAGTCTATGTCTGACACGGCCAGTTCTCAAAATTTGAACAATCCTACTAACTGTTCTTGGGTAAAAGTACATAAAGCCTTGCAAATGTGTTTTGAATTTTCATGTCAGACATGTGATTGTCTCATGTGAATGGAAGGAATACATGACTATTTGTGACTGTCTTTTAAAATGTTAATAATATTTTTATCAGACAGGCGTTGGTGGCGCACGCCTTTAATCCCAGCACTCGGGAGGCAGAGGCAGGAGGATCTCTGTGAGTTCGAGACCAGCCTGGTCTACAAGAGCTAGTTCCAGGACAGCCTCCAAAGCCACAGAGAAACCCTGTCTCAAAAAACCAAAAAAAAAAAAAATAATAATAATATTTTTATCATGCATTGTACAAAATAGGTTTATTATAACATAAAGTAGGTTTTAAAATTTTCAATCATGAAATAATAGAACTTTTGCAGGAATGGAACTTTACATAGAAGGTAAACTAAGAGAAACATCAATCATCCCACTGTCAGAAGGCAAAATGGTTAATACCATATGAGTTAGAGTCTCTCTTTATGTATAAATGTGCACACAAAGATTTAAAAACGGGATTTTTTTTTATGTTTATGGTTTTTTTTTTTTTTGCCTTGCATGTGTGTCTGTACCATATCACATGCCTGATACCTGCAGAAGCCAGAAGAGGGGTGTCTGATCCCCTAAGGCTGCAATTAAGGAGTATTGAGAGGTGTCACATGGGTACTAGGAGTTGAGCTGGGTCCTCCAGAAGCATAGCCACTGCTCTTAACTGGTGAGCCATCTCTATAGCCCCTAAAAGCAGGGTTTTAAACAACCCTCTCATAATTCATGCTTCACCAAATAATAGAAACGTGATCTTGTACATCTATGTCTACATCTGATTTTATATTAATAGTGTATTTCTAGAGGAAAAAGTACTGCTTCCAAACTGCAAAACATTTGATAAAGTTCATTGAACAGCCTTTTAAAAAAGTACCAACAACATCAGAATGGCTGTCTTCCCACTCCTTTGTCTTCATAGAAATTATGACTTAAAAGTCGCTGCCAGTGTTAAAGAGTGAAACGACTGCTGTTTCCTTATAATAATTGCTTTTACTTTTTTGTCTTGTTTAAATATTTTTGGAACTCAGAAGTCTACCTGCCTCGGCCTCTACACTGGGATTAAAGGCATGTGCTGGTCCTTCCAGAGTAGACTCTAATATTTTTTCATATTGTATATATTTGGCTACTAGAGAAATAAGCTACCAATACAGCATTAATATGGAGTTTTAAATACAACAAAATTTTAGTTGATTGCTTAATAGGGGTGCTAAAGTCATCATACGCTAAAATGAGTGTCATATAATGAGCCTGTAGGATTCAAAACTAAATTGAAAATTTGCTTAATATTATAGGGGTTGAGAAGATGGCTCATTTCCTAAGTGCCTGCCACATTGTAAGCAGGAAGACCTAGGTTTGAATTTCCCAGCTGCCAAATCAAAAGTAGGCATGGTAGCACACATCTGTACCCGTAGCACACGTCTGTAACCGAAGCACACGTCTGTAACTGGAGCACACGTCTGTAACCAGAGCACTGTTGTGACAAAGCCAGTGGATCCTTGGTACCCATGGCTGACTGAGCAGCATAGCTGAATCTGTGAGCTTCCAGCTCCCTGAGAGCCTGTTTCAAAAACTAAGGTAGAGAACTCTGGCCTCAACACATATGTACATACTGCACCACACAAACACACATGATACATATACCATGAAAGACAAAAACAAACTTGTGCAATAATATGATTCCAGCGTTAAAAAATTGGACTAACTTTAGTCTGCCACTAGCTTACATTTAGTTAACTCTAGAATTTGTGAAATATTAAATACTTGTTCCTTAAAACAAAGTTTTAATCGCAGCACAAGAGAGGCAGAGGTTGACAGTTCTGTGAGTCTGAGGGCTAGCCTGATCTACAGAGCTAGGACAACAATTTTGAGGGGAGAGGGGTGTTTGAAGACAAGAGTTTTTCTGTGTAATCCTGGCCATCTCTGTGTAGACCAGGCTGGCCTTGAACTCAAAGATCTGCCTGCTTCTGCTTCCCAAGTGCTGGAATTAAAGGTGTGCGCCACCACCGCCTCATTTGGCTAGTGCCATCTTTCTTACTCACTGTCAGTGTCTTCATCCACTTACCTCACTGTTGAGAACTTTTCATCTTTCTTTGAGAGAATGTTTCACTTTAGCCCATTTTAGCATTAAACTCACTCTCAAGCACTAAGACTGCAAGAGTGAGCCACCATACCCACTCTGGGAGGGTTTAATCATGTATAAAATTAATAACTTGTTTTCATTATTATTGCTTCAGTTTATTGATAGAATTTGACCATATAAAGAACAAAGTTCTTCATTCCTAGTTACAGTCAAAATGCTGCGTATATGTGGCTGAAGACACAGTAGCTCAGTGGTTAGCTAGTGCTGCTGCTGTGCTTGTAGAACCTGCACCTGCGTGATAACCAGCTCAACTCCAGTCCCAGGGATCAAGCTCCCTCTTCTGTACTCCCAGGGCACTTGTACTCATGCATGCCCATGTACATAATTAAATAAATATTACATAAGTGTGCATACTTATCTAATAACAAAGAGTAACAGTGGCATAATCACCGTTTCTTCATGCGTTCTAGGAAGGCAGGGTTATATTCAAGTCATTCTGGCCTTCTTAGCAGAATCAGCATTGCCATTTGGAGGATTTTTTTTCTGTCTTTTTTTTTTTTAAAGACGATGGTTGTGAGCCACCATGTGGGTGTTGGGAATTGAACTCAGGACCTCTGGAAGAGCATCCAATGCTCTTAACTGCTGAGCCATCTCTTCAGCCATAGAACTATTTCTTAAAAATCATGGAGTACTATCTTTGAATGCACAAAGCCTGATGTTTTAAAATGTATTTACATTATACTAATAATTTGATTATTATATAGTCCATTGTTATGGTAATTGCAGATATTAAAAACTTTTGGTATTTAATTTTATATAAGTAGAAAAACTTATATTAGTGACATTGCATTTTAAAGCTATTTCTCTGTTTCACATTTAAAAAAAGATCTAAAATTGTGTTGATTGACTGCTAGCCAGATGCTCATTTGGCTGCTGAAGAAGAAGCTAGACGGTTGGAAGGACTTCGGAAGCAGGCAGCGCAGGAGAGAATGGAGCAGCTTGAAAGGGCACATGTGCGGGGATCCCAAGCCTTGAAGAAGATCCACCTGACCCAAGTAAGGCCTGGCATCTCCCTGTGGTCTGTGACTGCTGCTGGTAGACGGGTTGGTGGCATCGTAGAACTGCTCAGTGAGTGAGTTCTGTCCTAGAATATGAATAGAGTGGTTTGTGTCAGCTTGAGGAAGTTTACTTTACCTCATAGTTCATGGAGGACAAGTGACTGGAGCGGGTGCTTCCAGTGCCTGGTCACACCCACCCTACCATAGTCAGGGACACAGCATGGTGCCTGCAGCTGCCTTGCTTCCTTTCTCATGCAGTCAGGCTCCTCGGTGCAGCCAAGACAGTTTCCCTTAAAATAAGCATGCCCCAAGACCCATCCCCCTGCCTTGCTGACAGCATTAACCATCACACAAGTCTCTGATTCATACAGTTTCAGTACAGTTTTCCCAAATCCTTTTCCTTCCTCTTTTAAGATGGGGTTGAATAAAGCTGTTCTCACAGTGTATGTTTGTTTTACGTGTTTGCCAATACATTTACATTTATTCAATCCAAAAAGAGCCTAAGAAAATGAGTCACTTTTTGATGTAGTAATTTTGATGGCATTTGTGTTGTATAAACCTGTGTAATTGATTCATTAAGTATTTTCTGAGCAAAGCACTTCTTATTCACTTTGAGTTTTGATTCTAAGGTAGATCATCCTTGACACACATCATCAAAGATTCATCTTCCTGTTCCACTTTACCTTCTGAGTCTGACTACATTCGTGTATTTTGAGCACCTAACACCTTAGGAGATGGTTTTTAAGGGCCTCATTGGACATTAAATGCTCACCCTCTAAGGAGTCTACTTGGATAGTAGGGTTACATTGTGACCTCCTCCCTTGAATTTTTAGTTTTCATATATAGGAAGTGAATTATGGCTTAGTTAACTGTCTGAATTATCAATCATTCCTATCTAAGAAATAAACCTGTAAGAAATAGTGACAGAAACTGAGAAACAGTTCTAAGTTGAGCACATCCTTCCATGAAAGCCCAGTATTGAGTGGCCACAGAGGTGAGCTTCCACGAGCTGCCTGGACTTACCTCACCTCTGCGTTACTTGGCTCTTAGCTTGCCTTAGCTCACTTTCATCACGTTCCCTGAGGACTGCATGAAGTGCATAGGAACATGAGTGCAGTTAAAAATTCCCTGTCATTAGGAAAATACTAATGGATTGACATACCGTGCTTGTTAGGAATAAAGAATAATGGGTTAGAACCGCACGAGGATCGCAGTCCCATGGTGGATGGGGAAACAGACCTGTAGACGGCACTCATATTGAAAGTTTTACTAGATAAGGGGGAGGTAAAGAGACACGGACAGAGAGGACAGAAAAGAAGACAGGAAAAGTCCTGTCTGCCCCAGGAGAACAACAGGAAAGAGAGTATAAGTAAGTGGGGGTCTTTCTTTTAAAGGGCACCTTTACACCTGCATGCTGACCAGGGCACTGCCTGAGTGCATTCTGCCAGGTGACGGGGCAGGCCAGCATAGTGCCTGAATCCTAACAGTGGTTTTAGTGAGCCACAATAATGCATTTACTCAAATAGTAAGCAATACATATGCTGTCATTTAAAAACCAGCTGTTTGGGCCACTTCTCTATTCTAGACTAGTATTTCTCACATAGGAAAAGTCATCCAAAATTGTGGTATCTTAGTGTTAATAGATTCCATTGCCCTGTGTGAACCTTTTCCCTAAGACCTTTTGGTCTAGGAATGTATTTATTGCTGGGTCTGTCGTAATTAGCATTTAGATTCTGTCCTTCTCCGATTTTATATTTTTTGGGTGTGCCTTCTATGCCCTAGCTATACAAACACTGTGCTGTTCTCTGGTTGCTTTCATAGCCATACCTATGTGCTGTCCCAGTTTTTCTTCTATTACTACATCCTCTTCTGTGTGACTAAATGCTTACCCAGAAACTGAGAAGGTTTCTCTGATCGGCCTTCTTTGCCTTTTACCATCAAAATTAAATTAGATAACTTCATTAAGACATTCTGGTTACTTTCATGTTAGTAGTACTCCACACTTAAAGAGATACACAAATCCCCTTTAATCATGGAAATTGGAGTTTGAAGTGATAGGAAGTGTCATCAGTTAAGCCTCAGTCACCAGGACCTGAGAAGTACAGAGAGAGCTGCGCTCAGCACCTTTTAGAAGCCCTGGCAGTTAAATAGAAAGTGACCAAATGACTTTCCTCTGCAGATACTTTCCAGACTTTATGGTGCACACAATATCTCCTCTCGGTGCTCCCTTCTTTGTCCCATTTCTAGTTTAGGGTTGACATTTCCTCCTAATACTCTCAGTCAGTATGTTATCCAGCAGATGTTTGCTGAATGGATAAGTTGGTGTGGTATATCTCATTCGGAACAAATGGAAGGGGAGGGGCAATTTTAGGCCCTACACTTAATGCTTAATGTAACTATCTAAAGTTTGACTCGCTGTCATTAATCTATTTATCCTTGAAGACCCAAGAGAGACTACTGGAAGAACTCAAACAGCTGCAGAAAGAGGACCTGGCACGTAGGAGACAGACAGTGGCACAAATGCCACCACGACTAGTAGAGCTGCCCCACAGACGCCTCGAGGGGAAAGAAGACTGGCAGCGAGAGCTGGAGTTCGCCTTTGAGGACATGTACAGTGTAGACAGGAGTAAGGGACTTCAGCTGCGCTTTTCCGTGTTTGCATGTAGTGAGTTACTTGTAAAGGGCCTTCATGCTTTAGACTTAATTACAACTGATAACCGCACGATTTTTATGGTTAAGTTCCCTGTAGGGCTGAGCCCACAATAAAGGGCCGTGGACAGAGGTACAGGGGTGTGGACAGAGGTACAGGGGACAGGTGAAGATAGAAGGGAAAGAGAAAGCAAGAGCCCTCTCTCTTGGAAGCTAGCCATGTTCCTAGAGCTCCCATCTCCCTGTAAGTTCTATATTCGATAAATACATTAAACCTCCTTATTCAGATAGCGTTATTTCTATCGTCAGCCCCCCCAATTTTTTCTCAAATTATTTTCAGTCATATTAGAAGGAAAACAGGTCTCTGTGTTTCTTTATTCAGAGGTGAAAGGAAACGTGATTTTGCATCTTAAGCCAGAGCCTTTGCCTGCCATGTCTGACCAGCTCCGGGATGAAGAACTGGACCTCTCAATGGAGCGAGAAAATCAAGGTGAAAACGAGAACCCAGACGTGCCAGACACTGAAATACTGTGTCCTAGTGCGACAGGTAGTGAAAGCCCCTAAGCTAGATGTTAAAAACTCACTGAAAAGAATTGTAATCATTAGCTAAGAGTTAGGAAAATCCGTTCAGTTTAAGCGCTGATAATGACACTAAGCAACGGCAGGAAGTGTCTGCATATGTCTGCCATTAGAGATCAATTCCATACTTGTTAGAGGGAGCCATTCACATATGATAGCATGTGGAGATCTTTAGGTTTTATGAGTTAGATGCCTAGTTCTGGATTCATTTGAAGAGTCAACAACTTTTCCACTTGACCAGATTATTAGAAATCCTATTGTGTTCCATTATTGCTGGGGACATCATGTATCATGATGCATTGTACAGACTTTGATTTCCTGTCCTTCACACATGGCTTCAGTGTTGAAGTTTCTCACCTGGTTGTCACATAGGTACTTAACACTCACATCCAGCACTTAGTCATCTCTTGCTTACTGAAGCCTTTGCTTTCTAACTTACGTGAATGATGGGGCCAGCACGGTGTCTCAGCGGGTAAAGGCACTGCCTCCAAGCCTGATTCCTGGGATCTCCATGCGGAAGGAGTTGTCCTCTGACCTCCACATTCCCTTCCCCAGCAAATAAACAAACGTGATTGAGTGAATGATGGCATCATGGTTACCTGAGACAGATCACACATTTTCTCTAGCACTCCTGCATCTCCTTAAAGACCAACTCCACACCATTGAACTGACCTCATCTTCCTCTGTATCGCCTTTATGTCACGCTACTCAGGCTTGCATCTCTCCTGCACTGCACTGTGGAAGTGGCTCTTTATGGCTCTTAACTTGGTGGTGGGGGCTCACAGCCTTCTCCCAGTCTTTTGTGCCCACCTGTCGTCTCAGGAGTCTAAGACTGATTTGGTTCTGCTGTGGCTCAACAGACAGGCTCAGTGCTTAACCATCCTGTTTTCCAGGGTTCCCCCAGAGACAGTTTCTTCTGAGTCTTATTTTCTTGCTAGGTTAATAGTCTTTAAGAAGACTTCTCTTTTCCCCCATTTCATCCAGGGTTTTAGTTGTTTTAATGGAACTTTTTATTCAGATTTCTAGTTAGCCAGAATTGAAGCCTCACATTACCTAAAGAAACACTCTATTTTGGGCTGGCCTAGTGCTCAGTCTTCCAGCTTCTCATAGAAAGCTAGGACGCTGGGTATCATGGCACAGCCTATAATCTCACTGTTCAGGCAGCTGAGCCAAGAGGACAGCCAAGTATTTGGGACTGGTCTGGGCAAAATAACAATACTTTGTCTCTTGAAGACAACAACAAAGGGCTAGGAATTCCCATTATCCTCCTTTAAAACTAAATCCTCATTGAAAAATAATTACAAATAAAAGTTGGCAATGTAGCCAGGTGATGGTGGCACACACCTTTAATTCCAGCACTCGGGTGGCAGAGGCAGGCAGATCTCTGTGAGTTCAAGGCCAGCCTGGCCTACAGAGCAAGTTCCAGGACATCCTCCAAGACAATACAGAGAAACCCTGTCTCGAAAAACCAAAAAAAAGTTGGCAATGTAGCTCAGTGGTAGAGTTTGCCTACCATGTGTAAGGCCCTGGATTCCATCCCTAGTGTGTACACACACAAAAGGATGGATGGATGGATGGACGGACGGACGGACGGACGGAGAGAATTAATCTGCCTTAAAAATAGGTAGGTCACAGACTAATGGTTATCTGACTGAAGCAGCCAGAATGTGTTACCTCAGAACATGGCTCTGTGTTTATATAGAACTAAGGAACAGGGTAAAACTGTGGTTGTGAGGTAGAGTGCAGTAAAGTCACCTTCTGTGTACACTGACTGGGAAGGACAAAGCCTTGTTGGTGCTGGAATGTTGCACAATGGCCTGGGTGATGGTGACAGACACTTCTGTGACATTTGCTACCCTGCACATGCGTCTTTTGTGTGCTGAACCGTTTGTTACATTTTTAATTCTATTAGAACTTTTCTTTAAATATGTATTAAAATGTACTACTTTGCCAGTTTTCAGCCTCTTTGGTAGTCTTAATTTTTTCCTTTGATTAAGCTAAAGCACAGTTTGGTCACCACTGAGAAATTTTTAGTTCTGTTCTTAGTTAGCTTGTGTCATCTCTGTGGAAGGATGCTTGAAGAAATACCTTGTTTCTGATTTTTGATAAATAAAAGGGTTTAGTTACAACCAGAGAAGGGAAAATTTTCCCCACGTATTAGCAAGAATGATTTGAAAGCAGGTGCTTTACTTCAAGGCTGTAAAATTGTTTTTCTAGTAGCCATCTCAAAGCTGTTTGGGCCATTCCCTAGTACTATGAAACCTTACAGTTCATGACTCAAACATTAACCTTAGTCTCAAGCTGATTAGGAGTCAATCTGTCATCACCTAGCAAGTAGAGTGAATGTCCTTCTGAGAGTTAAGTTTAAAATTAGTATATATGTATTATGTTGTTGTAAAATGGTCTAAATTTGAATTTAAGTTGAAAAATTATACTTGATTGTTAAAGTAAGACAAGTTAGCATTGTTGAACATACTAACCTTAGATTTGAAAATAAAGTTATACTTTTGCTTTAAGTAATTATCATAGTAACTGGGTATAAAGATAGAATAATCGCCTAAACGTAATGATTTGTTTTGTCTTTTTTTTTTTTAGTGCCCTTTGGAATGAAGACCCAACAAATCCCCTCAAGAATTCTTTTTAAAAGATTGTTAAATAAGATTCGAAGCCAACAGTCTCTCTGGACAATTAAATCTGTGTCTGAGGATGAAAGTGAAGTGACTACGAGCACCAGTGAGGTTGAGAGTAAAGCGCCCACCGTGGAATCGGGAGCCATGATCCTTGAGGAAAGAACACTGTCCTCCGAGCAGGAGCAAGGTGCTTTCTCCAGCAGCCTGTGTGATGGCACATAAACATCTCAGATTGTTTAAAAAATGCTCATACCTGAGGTTAGGGTTTAGTACCACCCTAGATATTCAAGGCATCACTGGAGGAGCTGGGGGCCGGGGCCGGGGCCGGGGGCGGGGGCCGGGGCTGGGCGGGGCATGGTGGTGGAGTCCTGCATGAGAAAACAAAGGACAGAGCACAAAAGTGAAGCAATGGGCTGAGGCACTGGAGAGGTGGCTCGGAGGTTAAATGTGCTGACTGCCCTTCCAGGGGACCTGGGTTCAATTCCCAGCACTCACATGGCAGATCACAACTGTTCTATATGCAGACATACATATAGGCAAAACCCCAATGCACATAAAATAAAAATAAATTCTAAGAAAGAAAGAAAAAGAAGCAGGCTGGAGAGATGGCTCAGAGTACTTGCTGCTACTCCAGTACCCACAAGGTGGCTCATAGTCTTCTGTAACTCCAGACCCTGTCCTCTGGCCTTTGAGGGGGGGGGGTATTAGGAAGGCAAATGGTACACAGGCACACAGCAGGCAAAACAGTCATACCTGTAAAATTAAAAGATTGAAAGTTAAGAAACAGCCCTGCTATGTAAAGGTCACAGGAGAATGTTGAGCACTTAGTGAGTCTCCTGAACCACAGCTGCTGCTCGTTGTTGAGCTCCCGGAAGTCATTGAACCACAGTACTTGTAATGTTTAGACTATTGTTTTCTTGTTGTTTCTGTATTACTGCTGAAGTCTGTGCCCATATCTTTGTTCTCTATGCACTCCAATGTGTGTGTGTTTTATATGTATGGTATGCACATGCCTGGTGATTCACATCTTTTTTTAAATTATTCACTTGTGTGTGTATGATTGTGTGTACCTTGTGCATGTGATGGTAAATCAGAAGACATCATAATATCCAGTGAAACTGGAGTTATAGTTGGTTGTGAGCAATCATATGGGTGTCGGCAACCAAACCCAGGTCCTCTATAACAGTGGTAGGTACTCTTAAACAGCTAACTCTCCAGCCTCCCATATCTTTAGTTTTTAATAAGGATTTTAATTAAAACACAAATGCATGTTAGTGGATTTTGAGTGTGTTACATCTCTACATTCCCTCCAGAGATCCTTTCCTTATTTGTTAATTTTAAGGAATGGGGAAGTTACTAGGCTCATACTAATAAGATCCCCTTGAATTATACATATGAGCAAATGAGAATTGTGAAGGTGTACTCTGATTTCAGTTGTATTTCTTAGAGGGTTATCTTTTGGGTTTTGTTTGTTTGTTTTTCCTTTTGGAAGGTCTGTTTGTATGCGTGTGGAGGTGTTTTGCTACCACACTGTGAGAGGAAAGCTAGCTGGATTTATACTGTACACAGAAGCCTTGGCCTGCATCCTTTACTAGCCCTTGTAACGCGCCTATCTTGTTTTTCTCCTTTGTGTTTCCTTTTGCTATACCTATTGGTCATTGCCCCCAGAGCCCATTCCTCAGATCTGTTTTCCTGCATTCAAAACTCCCTAGCGTTCCTCTGGCACACTGTACAATGTTTGTATTTACTGATGTCACCAGTGTGTGTTTGCCAAGTTGGCCTCCTTGGATTCACTTTGAGATCTATTACCATGTTAAATTTGCCCCAAATTGAATTCTAGGTAACTCCCAACCTGCAGCTGCTTTTCATCCCCCAGCTCCCATTTATTTGCTGGAGAAAAAAAAGTGTTATTATTCTGATTCTCTTTTTTCATTACCTACATCCAAGCCATCAGAAACTTTAGTTAAAATATATCCAAAGTCAACCATTTCCCACCACCAGTCCTAGTTCCAGCTGCATTTGTTTTCTGGCGTAGATTCTTGTCTTGGCTCCATCTTCAGCTTTTGCAGCTTCCTATAAAATCTTCTCATCAAATGATCCTGTGAAAACTCAGTCAGCTCATTCTTTTCTGCCTGCAGCACACACTGGCCACTTGATTCGCTCAGTGACAATATCTACACACACATGCTGTGTGACTTCGTTCCCTTCCACGTCTCTTGCAGTCACTGTGCTGGCTTCCTCCCCGTTCCTCAGACAGCAGAGCTGCAGCTCATATATTCTTCTGAACTGTTGATGTTTTGGCCAGCATTCTTCTGTGGCTGTTTCTGTGGCTGCCTCCCACCCCTCCTCCTGAGTCTATTCTCAGGGAGGGTTTCTCTTCTCACTTTATATAAAATGCCACCCTCTGCCTTCCCAGTAATGTTCCTCTCCATCACTTCATAATCTCTCGCACACTGCTTTCTCTTCATAGCTCTTACCAACAGGCAATAGACCTACTTGCTTGTTTATTTTCTTCACATCTAATTCATTTGTGAGAGAGGATCTTGGAAAAGATATTCATTGCTCTGTCCCCAGAGGCTTTGTGGATAAAAAGTTGAATTAGTCATATAGCTGAATGTGTTGTTGAATTAGTTGAATATCTTAAAGCGAGAGCGATAATTTGTGAAGTCATATATTTAAAACCATGAGAATAGAAGTTTCTTTTAGAGGAAAGAATTCAGTGAGAAGGGAGCTTACATATGATGACCTGAGGGATGCTGGCTGTAAAAGCTGCAGGAGGTCAGTCAAGTAGAGACAATACAGTATTGGATTCCAAATAAAAGGAACTCTGCTGTCGAATCTGTTGAAAAACGCAACTACATGAACAGTCATTCTCCATTATGATCTTGCTTCATTCTCTTTCAGCTGACTGTGCTCCTTGCCTGTGGGTCTTTCAGCTTCTTGAGTGACCCAAGGTTGTGTGTGTGTATGTGTGTGTGTGTGTGTGTGTGTGTGTGTGTGTGTGTGTGTGTGTGTGTGTGTGTGTCTTTCAGTTTCTTGAGTGACCCGTGGGTGGGTGTGGGTGTTCAGGGGTGTTTTGTTTCCCTGTTCCTCTCACAGAATCTTCGTACTGTCTTTGGATAGGTCTATTCATCTCCCTCACCTGACCTCCTTCCTTACCTTCCAGTGACTGCTTAACACCTGACTCACTAATGTCTTTATTATGTTCATAATATAGCTAGTTTTCTTTACATTGTACTTGTTTTTAATTATCCAAATTTTTATGAGGTGGTATGGTGTTTCTGTCCCTCTTTCAATCTTTAAACCTTCTTGAGGCCTCTTGTCATTCAGCATGGTATCCTTGTCATCTACCTTGCCATGGAAAATGGTTGAATGGGTGTTTTGTGCAAAATTACTGGCTTGATGGGATTCATATCATAAAGTCCCTAGAATCTTGTTATTCTAGTAAAAGCACATTATTTCTTTGGCACCTCCTTAGTCTTTGTTTTTTTTTTTTTCTTATATCTGCCTTAGATTGGGTGGTTAATGTATGTAGCTACCAAAAAGATGACCGAGCTTTCACTGAGGGTCCACTTCCTGTTGACCAAGAGTGAACAACAGTTGATCTGATCTACTGACCAGATTCCTGGTATTTTGCTCCCTTTAAGCTTGACATTATCATACTAAAAGTGGTATCTGTTACAGTCATGGACAGTGATAGGCTGACGATTGAGTCTGGACCACTGAGTAGTGAAGATAAGCCATTTTTCTGCCAAGCAGATGCTGGAAAGGAACAAGGTATTTTTTGTCATATTTTCAGATTAAAGCTGCTTGGTTCCTCATATTTTCCTTGGTAAAGAAGGGCACTAGAGTGGGGTCATCTTTTCGAGTTATTGAAGCTAATTTTTGTTTGGTGATTCTTGTAGCAGTTGTTGCTTTTCCACCTGCCACAGCTGAGGCTCAGAGTTCAGTACTGCTTCATCCTCAGGAAGAAGCAGTCAGAATTCGAATGTCAGCAAGGCACAAGCAGGTAAGCAGGCCCTGGAGCCACAGTGTCGTTTGCCTGTGCAATTCTTCCATGTTTATCTGACACAGGCGTTTGGGTGATGGATGCATTTGGTCTCTGTGTACACTCATCCCCCAGGGGTCTACTGTCTGCTTCTCTGCCCTTTCTCTTGGTTCCCTCCTAATCCCTTTGTCAGATTTAAGATTACCTACTCCATGAATAAGAGGCCTTTTGGTGATCACATGTGTTTATTAATGCAGTGTATATGAACTTTTCTCTTGAGAGTGTTGTTAGAACAATAGTGTTCTTACTATCTAGATAATGGAGATAGAAGAGCAGAAGAGGAAGCAGTTGGAATTACTTGAACAAATTGAGCAACAGAAGTTAAGGTTAGAAACTGATTGTTTTCGGGCTCAACTGGAAGAAGAAAACCGAAAGAAAACTCAACAGCCTGAGGTAGGATGCTATTGGGAGGCTAGAAAGTAGCAGTCATGCTGTGTATGTGTCACCCATCTGATAGACCTCCTCATTAGTGTGTGTGCTGTACAGTGTACATGTGACCAGGGTTACTAGTATGCTGTGTGCTGAGCTTTTTGGATCTACCTGTCATCATAGAAAACAGTAAATTACTTCATTTTTCATTTTAGGTTTGCCCTGCTCCAATGTCACATACTGTGATTTCTGATGAAGACTGTCACAGGCAGATGATTCGTAACTATCAACATCAGCTTTTACAACAAAACAGGTATGGACAGGGATATGATTTCTGTGAGACAGTATGCTAATCTTTGGGATTTGTAATTTGTTTTATATAATGATCCAGTTGAAATTGCCTTAGAAATTGCCATGATGCTTTCTTCAAGGGCAGTGGGAATGTACTTTTCTGTGGTAAATATGGCCAGCTTTAGATTGCTACTTACAGTGTTTAATGTGTAAAGATTTGAGAATTTGAGGGCTTTTTTTATTACAGATTAGTAATATCTGTTTTTATATTTGTTTTTGATAGGTTACATAAGCAGTCTGTTGAAACTGCCAGGAAACGATTACTCGAATACCAAACTATATTAAGGGAAAGATACCCATCCATGTCATCCGCATCACTGATATCTGATTCTATCATGTTAGGACCACCACAGAAATCTGAAAAGCCTGCTGCTGCATCAGAGCACTGGGGTCTGTGTCAGAGGCTGAAGCCGAGTCCTAACAAATACCAACCTGTGCAATCCTCACAGACCCCTGGATTAGATCAAAGTCATGTTCAGGCACTAAGACAGGACCTCTTTCCACAGAGGCAAGGAGAAACAGGTGCATTAGAGATGCTAGCCAAGCAGTTTGTGGGGTCACAGGAACATCCACAGCAGTCCTCTCATGTGGAAGCAAGCCAGAGGAACTATAAATTTGTCCCTAAATATCCTCATGCACTTTCAAGAACTTTGTCTTATGATAGGCTACAAACATTACAGGATGCTGGAGAAGTATCTAAACCACTGAGAGCAATAACTTGTCAGACTTTAGATTCCCAACAAATATCATCAGAGGATAGTGAAAATATATCTTCTAAGCCAACTGAGCCTTCTTCATTTCTCCCACTGGTGCCTGAACGTTCTTTTACTAGTCTCCCAGTTAAACTTGAATCTGGAAAAGTTCAGGAACCCTTTACAACCATGAGCAAAAGTAGAGTTTCCATAAACCAGTCTGTAATCAGTCAGATGCATGATCAGCCTTTGTCATCCTCAGACACAATCACCACCCAGCAAGATGACTTAAAGTTTCCTCCAAAACAGTTAGAACTGCAGAAGGAAGTTCTTCAAGCAAGCCAAGAGGCTCAGGAAAAGCTGGTTCTCTGTACACAGAAAGAACTGGAAAAGCAGGCAGGTCTTCCAGTATTCATCCCATCATCAGCTGGGGATTTAGTTACTTCACTGCCATCTGCCTCAGCTGAATCAGGAAGAATCCAGACATTTTCAACAGAAAGTGATGCCACTGTTTCCTCAGGCAATATGGACAAGCTTTGGGGTTTTTCACAACCTGTCTTATCACAACAAACTAATTTAGAATTTCCCCAAGAACAGATGGGTGTTCAGAAGGATAACCTTCGGGCTAGGTGGGAAGCCCAGGAAGTCTTGTTGGCACATAAACAGAGTAAACTGGACGACATTGTAAATTCTGAGCAGACTGGTCACTCTTGGCCACATCAGGTGACGCAGCAGTCATTTAGTTCATTATCAGTGACTGATAGACTATCTAGAAAAATCCAGGAAAGGCCTTTACCTACAAACAAGAAAGGGCTTCTCCCAAGCCAGTCTGAAATGTCAAGATCTCAGGATGGGTCTTCCAGTTCTCTACAGCATATCCTACCTCTACACAATAGCTTAAAGTCGCTGCAAGAACGGCTGGCTACACAGAGGGATGCAGCTCAGACGAGACATGAAGCTCAAGAGGAATTACTTTTACATAGAGAAAGAAGTTTGGGAGACATGATGTCTGGGCCAGTGAATTCACTTTCCTCGGTGGTTTCTCAGCATTCAGATGCTTCTCATGTAGTTTCAGAACCTGGGCCTAAGGAGTCCTGGGAACTGTATTCATCTGAGGGCAGTATAGTTCCCTCTAGTCATTTGATCACCCCGTCACTCGAGGAGGAGTCTCTTGACTTTCCTCAGCACAACCTGCCAACACAACATTTTACAACACTCCAGGAACAGGCACACATTCAGAGGGTTATACTTGGTGCTAGAAAGGAGACTACGGAATATGCACACAGAGAAAATAAATTAGAAAAAGGACTTCGTTCTCAACAAACTGGTGCCCTGTCTTCATCCCAGGTAGCCGAATGGGAAAGACTCCAGGAGTTCATATCAGTTAAGAGTGATAATGCAGGGCCCTTAAGCCTTAAGATTCCAGGATTTTGGGAAAGACTGGATAGATTTTCACAACATGCATTTCCTCTGCAAAATAATTTGCAGGAACACCAAGAATGGGTAAATACAGAAAAAGAGAGTTTTCAGTTTAGTCCTCAAGCTCGGGAAAATTCATCTTCTCAACAAACAGGCTTTTCTTCCTTCATACCCTCATTAGGACCATCATCGTGTGTGTCCTTGCCTTCTGCTGACTCAGGTACAACACAGCAACCTCTTTCAACAGAGAGTGACAGTAAAGTAACATCAATCCATCTTCAGATACCAGAATTGCAGGATAGACTTTTAAAGATATCTCAACTTATCCAGCCTCAGCAAGACAGTTTGAAGGCCATTCAAAAACAATTGGCTACCCAAAGGGAAGCCATCGTCCAATCTAGACAAGAAGCTCATGACGAAATATTAGGAGAACGGAAGGAAAGAGTATTCCCAAAGCAACCTAGTCCATCTCCCCGGATACCTCAGCATTCACTTGCTTCATTCCCTCTTTCTGACTCTGAAAGAACACAAGAACTTTGTTCAGCCATCAGTGATGATGCAGTATCTTCAGGTTCTGAGATGCTGGGTTTGCCAGGCAGGGCTTTGGGTTTATCACATACTGATTTATTTCAGCAGAATAATCTGGCTGCACATCCAGAACACCTCCATGCACAAACAAATGCCTTTCATTCTACTGAGAAAGTGCAGGAAGAGATGCTATTTCCTAGACCATGTGAGCATTCTATCCAACCTCATCATGGTGACTTGAAGACACTTCAACAGCAGTTAAATGTGCAAAGGAAAGCCATTAGATCTGGCCAGGAAATACAAGAGGAACTACTTCTGCAAAGGTTAAATAAATTGGAACAAAGGGTATCTTGCAAACAGATTAGCTCCTCTTCATTCTCACCACAGGTCGCACTACCTGTAGCCAACTCTGAAGGAACCCTGCAGTCTTTCCCAACGAAAAGTGATGACACTGAGATATCCGGCTCCCATGGTGAGTATCCGAGCTTTGCACAGCCCCTTCTACCTCAGCAGGATAAGCTGACAATGCAGATGGGCTTAGAGATGGTGTTTCATAAAGAACTGCTTTTACACAAACAAAACAGCCAGAACAAAAGTGACTCTGTTGAGCATGCCATCCCTGCTTTGTTTCTCTCCAAGGAACCAGAGCACCCATTCATTCCATTACCTTTTGCAGAAGCTAAGTCTAAAAGCATTGGTGAGTTGTCCTTACCGAAAAAGGAGCACGGAGTCCCTTCTAGAGATGCTGTGATCCCAAGATTGCAGGACAGACGTTTGAGTTTCTCCCCGCCTGTCTTAGCCCAGCACGACGACATGAATCTTCAGAAGCAGTTGAATCTACAAAGAGAAGCTCTGCGTTGTAGGCAAAGAGCCCAAGAAGACTTACTTGTGCAGAGACAGACAGCCTTGCAGCAGCAAATGGAAAAACACAGAGAAACTGTGAAAGAGTTATTGAATGTCAGTCAGGTATGTTCTAAATTTAAAACTTCAGAATTACACAAAGATGTTTAAACCTGATTCCATTTTAATCCTAAGCTATCTTCCCTTTAGTTATTGGGAGTATAAAAATTAAAACAAAATTTATCTACTTCATAAGGTCATAATAAATAGTCACAACTAAGGCATATCCATCTTCATTTATGAGTTTTGTTGTAGTGGTTTCTCACCTGACCACAGATAAAACTTGTAAAAAGAACTGGTTAACAGAATTTTTATTAAGATGTGATAGATCCTGTTCTCTAATAACTTCATTGACATTTGTATTGAATCAAAATCTGTGCCCTCTTTCTCCCCAAGTTGCTATGGTATAGCTGGCTTGGGTGTAGGCTGATAGAGACCAGACTGGTGATGATGACTGCTTACATTTGAGTTGTTGAGAAGACTGGCATGGTCATTTAGACATTGCCCTATATTCTCATAAATATGAATGGGTCTATTCTATTTTAGGCCATTTGTTAAGTTTCTCAGTATAAACAAAATTCTACAGCACCTAGATGTTCAGGAGTCACTTGAGTTTAGAAGTTAAGTCTTAGAGTTGTAAAGGTAAAGGGGAAAACATAGGGGAAGTATTCAGGTCTAATCTGTAAACAGGTGCAGAGCTAGGACTTAGGTGTATGGCTGTATTTTACACTGGGAGTATTCACCCCTTCAGTGTTGGAAGTATGTCTCAGTTTTGATCTATCAACAGAAAACTCAGTTTATTCTGAGCTATACCTGGGGATATGGGTTCAGGTTTTTTTTTCCTGAATAACATGCTCCACTGTGGAAACAGTTACAGGAATATTACAATCACAGAACAAAGAAAACCATGAATTCATAGTGTTTTCCAAGTACTGTGTTGGGCCCATGCAGTGAATTACAGAGATGCAGGGAAACTGCTATGGTGATGGAGCTAGTGATTCAGTTGAGGTTCTGACTTAAGTGAGATGTAAATCTCGTGGGTTCTTCACAGGATCCCTTAACGCACATCATCCCCAGCTCCCTATTCACTTTTTCAGGCAAGGACGTCCCCAGATAATGACCTGAAAACGCAAGGCCCTGCCTGGGGAGGCTCTGATCAGGAGAGCCCTAGCGGTGAGTAGTCGCGATCATCAGATGTCCATGATGAGCATGAGATAATCCCTGTTGTGTTGTGATCACAGCTCCTGACTGAAGAAAAGCTTCTTGTGTGTTCACAATGTTTCATCTGTTTAACCTTGTCTTTGACCTGATAGGTGAGAGTCTGGGCAAAGAACTGAGTGGTAGAGCCTCTAAGCCTCCTGTCTCCAAGGTGAAGTGTGGCTTGGACTTAAACCAGCATGAGCTTAGTACTATACAGGAGGTGGAGTCACCAGCAAGTGGCAGGACTTCCATGCCAGGTAAACAGTGCTGAAATTCAACATTTCACTAGTTTGCTAGCTCCATACCTTTTTTCAGTATGCTAAAATGTATCCCAGAGCTAGTCTTTGAGTCCTTGTAAAAAGAGAAGCTGGTTTACATAAAAATAATTTAAAATTTGGGATTAGAGAGATGGTTTACTAGGTAGAAATTATTTTCCTGTTGACTGTATAAACCTGATAGCCAGAGTTGAGTCTCTGGATCCCAGGACCTCTGACCCCTACACAAGTCATCACAAACACACATGCACACACCCCAACTCTCACATACCACATATAAATGTAATAATACCAAAATAGAATTTAGTGAAGTACTCAAACTGTTGACTTAAAGAAACACAGCACTCTAGCTTCTTTCTGTCTCACACTAAGTGTTGCATCTCTGAAAGGAAAGGTATCCTGGTGGTTGGAAGCCAAGAAATACAGCTCTAAAAGGAAAGGTATTCCAACAAAAGTGCTCTAGCTTTGTTTTGATGGGGAGTGGCTTCCCCACAAAAGGGTTGCAATCTTTTCTCTAGGAAAGATTTCCCCAGTGCAAGTGTAACAGCCTGCTCCAGCAGGGGAGGGTTTTCCCAACAAGGTTGTTACAACTCTGCTGCAGAGAAATGGTGCAGCTCTGCTCAACTTTCCGGAATGTAACAGTTCTGCTCTAGCAAGGGAAAGTTTCCCCAGTCAAAGTGTTACAATTCTGCCGTGTTCCTGCTCTGCTCTGCTCTGGTAAGAGTTATAAGCATTACAGCTCAGATGGAAAGGTATCCTAGCAGCCAGGAACCGGGAACCAGGGAATACCACACACACAGCACAACAGACCTCACACAAGAGATTTATTGGCAGGGGGAGAACACGACGGTAGCTGCGTCTGCTCGGGTGAGAAGCAGCAGCAAACTGAACAGGGTACAGGGCTTATAGAGAGTTTCTTGGGAAGCGGGTAGAACTTTTCAGGGTTGATTGGGATTTCACATCCAGAGATTGGGCTTTTTCACTCTGCAGGGTGGGGGCAGGGTCCAGCATTTAGGGCAGTTAGTTTTCTGTGGGTGGAAGCTGGCAGTTGGAGGTCCTCAGGGGAAAGGCCTGTCACTTGAGTGGCTCAAGGGGCTTCAGTTACAGCTCTGCTCTGCTAAGGGGGTTTCCCCGCAGGGATGTAGCAGTTATGTTTCACTCCAGCCAGGGCCATTACAGTTGTGTTCTGCTCCTGCAAAAGAAAGTCATTACAACAGGCTTCACTCAAGAGATTTATTGGGAGGGAGGAATCCAGGAGAGTGGCTGCCTCTGCCAAGGTGGAAAAGGACAGTCCTAAACTGAACAGGTACAGGGCTTTATAGGGTTTCTTAGCTTTCTTTCCAAGATGAAGATTTTGAGGGTGGGGATTGGTAGGATATCAATTCCTGACCTTGGGGCAAAGCTAAGAGATTGGTTGGATTTTGTGCTCAGGCATTGATTGGTTGTAGTACTCTGGGCTTGGCTGGCTTTTGTGCTCGGGGATTGGTTGGGTTTCAGTTCCTGAGTTGGTCAGGGTGTTCTTTCACTGCCCTTTTACCCTAGAATAACTAGCTTTGTGGTCTCAAGGGGGAAGGCAGTGTGCACTAACCAGCTCCTCACCCATGGCAAAGGGCAGTGCTGTGATAAAGTCTTGCTGTGCACTAACCAGCTCCTCGCCCATGGCAAAGGGCAGTGCTGTGATAAAGTCTTGCTGTCGCACAGTCTGACAGTGCTTCCTTTCGTGTCTGCCATCTAGACATGTTTCAAAGATGGGACTCAGTTCTCTTTCTCCTTCTGCTTCCTATTCTCGCTACTCTTCTGCATCTTGATGGAGTTTCTTTGTTTTGTTTCTAAACAGGGTCGTGGTCACTTTGTAGTCTGGCTGGCCTGGAGCTCAATATGTAGACGAGACCAGGACAGCCAGGACTACAGAGAAAGCCTGTTTGGGAGGTACGGGGAGGTGAGGGTTGTCATGAGGGAAAAGTGAAAAGCCATCAGTGTTTTTTTAATTTACAAAGTAAAGCTTGGCTGAAATTTCATATGGGTAGGGCAGTTAGAGGGGACACAGGTTGATAATTAAGTTGAAAACACTTATCTATATTGATTTTTCTATTCTCTTTTGTATTCTTTTTTTTTATTCCACTGTTTGTTTCTAAATTTTTATTTTGATTATCTAATTGTAGTTAACAGAAAAGTCCTATTCTCTGGTTCCTCCTACACACCACCTTGGTAACATCCTACTTTTGTTTCATAAATACAAAATAGGAGTTACTTTAAAAGTTAGTTTTTGGCCAGACAATGGTGGTGCATGTCTTTAATCCCAGCACTCAGGAAGCAGAGACAGGCAGATCTCTGTGAGTTCAAGACCAGCCTGGTCTACAAGAGCTAGTCAGGACAGCCTCCAAAGCCACAGAGATTTCTGTCTCAGAAAACCAAAAAAAAATTTTTTTTGCTTTGGTTCTGTATTTTCAGTTGGTCCAATTTTTTTTTTTTTTTTTTTTTTTTTACTGTAGGATTTCATGGAAAAGGGCATTTTCATCAAAGACTCTCAATAGGAAAGTTTTTCATATCAACCCAATCTGGCTATTGTCTGGGTGGGAGTAAAAGAATTTAAAGACCTCACTAAACAACCAGCATTTATTTTCTTGCTATATAAATGGAGCCTTTAAGAGTTCAGATTTGTAAAAACTATTATCTGAATAGCCATTTTAGATGATAAAAGTTATCTGTGAAGTAGAGAGGTGGTTCAGAGTTAGGTACTTACAGCTCTTCCAGTTCCCAGCACATAACCATGTTAACTCCAGCTCCAAGGAATCCAGTGCCCTTCCATACATACATACATACTCACACACAGTCAAAACACTCAAACATGTAAAATAAATGTATCTAAAGATAAATGGCCATTTTAGTTTTAACGACTGGAACTTAGTCGGGTTGTTTTTTGTTTTGTTTTGTTTTTTGCCCAGGTAAATCAGACTTTTATCAAGACCGAGACCCCTTAAGAGTCTCAGTGAGCAGAGAACAAAGTTTTCTGGGGAGTCCACTGGCACATGACCTATTTGCTTGTCACCAGCCACCTGCCCAGAACAGCAGAAGCAATGACTATTATGAAGCAGGTAAGTTAAAGTGTTGCACACAGGACATGTGGACAAAGGGTGGTTGTTAGGTTCTGTGTCTTAGTGGTAAGTAGCTTTGGTGACTGTCGGTAATCAGATCATTGTGGTATACCCATGCTCTCTTAATTTAGGCAGTCATTAACGGTCATGAGGGTAAGGCTGGGATGTGTGTGACCAGGGTGTTCTAGGACTCACAGAGATCCTCTGCCTCTGTCTCCCAAGTGCTAGAAAGTCTTTTTATTGTAAAACTGTCTCATTAACTGAGTCCTATTAGGATTATATGAGCTATAATGAGTTGGTGGCTTTGCAGGCCACATTGTGAATACAGTGCTAAGAAATGCTATCTTCTGAAAACTGTGACATTCCAAGAAAATGCTGCATGATACCTGTACACATGATGAAGAATTTTAAGTCAGTCAATTCCACCACCCAGTGGCAACCAAAGTTAATTTTCTTGCTTTTACATTTATAGATACAAAACTGTAATAGTGCTTGCTGACCTAAAAAAACACATCTCCAAAACCATTTTATTAGTTGTAACCTTATCTGTAAGTAGTTTTCTTTCTAGGAGAGTCTTACCCCTGGACTAGCAGTGACTACATTTTTTTCCCTTAGAATATATAATTTCTAGAACATTCCCAATAATTGAGCAAGGTTTTATAAAGTTTTTTTGTTGTTGTTTAAGATTTATTATTATGTATACAGTGTTTTGCCTGCATATATGCCTGCATACCAGAAGGGGTGCCATATCTCATTATAGATGATTGTGAGCCACCATGTGGCATGTGGTTGCTGGAAATTGGACTTAGGAGCTCTGAAAGAGCAGCCAGTGTTCTTAACCATTGAACCATCTCTCCAGTCCAACTATATTTTTTAAAAATAATGAATATTGCCCTAGTGAGTATTATAGAGGGTAAAAGTAATAAATACCTCAGGAGTATTATAGATAAGTAAAATGGTATTTTTTTTCCTTTGATCTCAGGTAAGGGTGATTTTTAAGAAGCAAAATATAAAAATAAGGTATAGAAATGCAGGGAATGAGACCCTCTTGTGCTAAAGTTTTACTTTGTCATCATTTACCCTATCCCTATTTTGAACCCTCCAATCCACATTTTAGTTAACGTTGAGGAATCTGATGTTGAGGATCATGCAATATTGAGTCATGCTGTCTCAGAAGAAGCGTGTGCATCTCTGGGTCCAGTTGTGAAGCCAGATGATAAGGTCAGTGATGCTACTTTGTATACTGCATTGGGTTTCATATTTAGTTTGTTAGAATCTTTAAGTTTGTTCTCTGAGATCTACTAAGGTGGATCAATGATGAAAAATAGCCAAATCTGAGCATCAGAAGACTTCTCAGTCTGTTTGGTGCATGATCTCTCTAGTTCTGAGAAGCAAAACTACAAAATAGCTTAAAACAATTAGGATCTGTGTATGGTGAGAGATGTGGGGGATGAGGGAGGAGGGAGTGAATGATGAGAGAAGGGGTGTGTGTGTGTGTGTGACCATTTCTGAGCAATGATGAAAAGGCTTTAGTACTGAACTTTGTCTATGAAGGTTTCTACACTTGACCTGAGCTCAGAATTGACAGAAATGTTGATGGTTTATGGTTTTTCTAGATATGCCATGATACATCATGAATGTTTACCTTTGAAATTTTAGGCTGAAACACAAGACATTTCTCAGGAGCCGTTATCTTCAGTAACTGTTTCTACTGGAAGCTTCTTAAGTTATGAACTCACAGATTTGAGCCTTACAGACCCAGGTACTTTTTGAGCACACTGAAGAACAGCACAGGCTCATCTGCAATGTAGGAATGAAGGAAGCATTGCTTTTTCTTTGGGGTGGGGGGGGGGTTGTTTTTCCAGACAGTGTTTCTCTGTGTAACAGTCCTGGCTGTTCTGGAGTTCACTCTGCAGACCAGGCTGGCCTTGAACTCAGAGAGATCCACCAGCCTCTGCCTCCCAAGTGTTTCAATTAAAGGTGTGCGCCGCCACCACCCAGCCAAAGCATTGCTTTTTCGTGTTGTGTCCAGGTGGTGTGTTTGGGAGAGAAGCTGTCTCAAGCCTACAAAGGAAAACATCAGGTGTTGATGTTCTAAAAGTGACAAAGTCATTCATGCACTTTGGCATTTTCCCACTTAGTGGCAATCTCTCTGAGCAGATTTCTTAGTTGCACCAGTGTCAGCAATATATACTGCTATAACATACTGTGTTTGTGACGAAGTACCCAGAAATTAAATTAATACATTACAAATGTTGCTTTCACTAAACTTGATTTTAGAGTCATTTTCGGAACAAATGGAGCATCAGGAACAAGAAGAGACTTCTCCTTTCAGTTGTGCACGTCCTTCAACCCCTGTTACTTATCAACAGCTGCACTCCTTAGGTGCTGATGACTTTCTGTTGTCCACAGAGGAAGAAAGGGCATCCAGTCACACACGTGCTCAGCAGGTCATAGACAAGGATATAAATGAAGCAACTTTGATACCTGGAAAAAGAGACTTGCAGGGTAAAAATTATTCTAAGAGAATGTTTTTCTAGCTTTTCACTCTAACTGAAAAATAGAAGTGCTTGGTATTAACAGTCTTACTCTCACAACCTATGACTATACATGAGTTCAGTCCCCAGAGCCCCTTGGTGGAAGGAGAGAACTGACTTCTAGAAGTTATCACTGATCTACATACCAGCACTATGGCAGGCGCACCATGGCATGTACATGTACATACAACACAAATGAAATATTTTTTTTTTCTTTGATTTTCGAGACAGGGTTTCTCCGAGGCTTTTGGAGGCTGTCCTGGAACTCACTTTGTAGACCAGGCTGGCCTCGAACTCACAGAGATCCACCTGCCTCTGCCTCCCGAGTGCTGGGATTAAAGGCGTGCGCCACCAACGCCCGGCTGAAATAATTTTTTATATTAAAAGAGAAAACGGCTTGAAGAGCCTATAAAGAAAAGATTAATGAGGGCACTTCCCCACAACTAAGGCAGAGATTTGAGTGATGTTTAGATCCTTTCCTGGCAATAAGACCTTTCTTCCATAAAATAAACTGAAATAAATGAGATGTGCACATACTGTCCGTGCACCCCAGTAACAGGACAGTGAACCTTTCTCATTGTAAATCATTCATCATGAAATGAGCAAAATAAGAGCGCAAATAAGAGCTCAAAGCTTACAGTTAAGCTTTTCCATGTGGTCTTATGTGGCCTGCCATTCATTCCTAATGAACCATAAAAGCCTTTAAGGTCGTATTACAATGGAGGCTTATGTTTAGTTCTGGTCCCTAGAAGATTCCTTCTCTTACAACTAGGGGATAATCGTGATTGAACTTACTTTGAATGTATCTGGTGAGCATGGACAACAAATGGAAGTAACCTGCTGTATTAGAAATGTTTAAACACTCTAACGAGCATGTTCTCAGGACTCCTTTTTCAGGCTCTTAAAACATCATTTTCCCCCTCAAAGTTCCAGCTGTGGACTTTCCAGAATTGGAACACGTATTTCCACACTTGCATCGTCAACTCTTTAGACCCTTAGAACCATATCTGGATTTTGACTTATGGTCCTCCTCTGGGATTTCACAAGACAACAGAGACTTTTACGAGGTAAATTAAAATTTTGTGGCAGTGAATAATGATTGGCAGGTGATTTATTTTGCTTTTTGTAGGCCAAGCTGAAACCTAGTATGTTGCTAAGACAGCCTGACCCTCCTGTCCATGTGCTGGGATTATAGCTGCACAACACCATGCCCAGCCTAAGTCTTTTCTTTTGTAGAAAAGTTGGCAGCCTATTGGAATTATAGAAAACGAGGTCACTTCTTCAGATGCCCACCTGTGTTTATGCAAGCAACCTTAACTCAGGGCTCACACATACATGTACACAAAAGACCCGAGAGTGGGCAGAAGGGAGGAGGGGTAATGAAAGCAATAGGGGATGGGGATGCCTAAAACTCTTTATGTATATAAGAAACTGTTTTATAAGTGTTAATGTAGACATATTAGTCACACTTTTCCTGAGACAGGGTTCCTCTATTGCTTTGGAGTTGAAGGCTGACCTGGAACTAGCTCTTGTAGATCAGGCTGGTCTCAAACTCAGATCCGCCTACGCTACCTCTGTATGTTTTCATAGATTTTACTGTTCTAAATATTAGTGCAGTAAATGTAGCTTATTAAATTTTTAAATATAAATGTATATATCTACATTTCTAAGTTGTTCTGATCTGGAAACAATCAGGTGAGGTCATACACACTTGTAATCCCAGAACTTGGACAGAGGATGAGGGGATGGAGGCCAGCCTGCTACAGGGATAGCCCTAGCTTGTATATGATTCCATAAGGTCCTGAGAATCCTGTTTTAGTGTTTTGGTTTCCTTCTTTCTTACTTAGGTAAAACCATGTCTGTTTAACGTGTTTAAAAGGTAAAGGATTCCACAGAATTTAAAAAATGTCTTCCCTGCCAGGCAGTGGTGGCACACACCTTCAATCCCAGTACCCGGGAGGCAGAGGCCAGTCGATCTGATTTTGAGACCAGACTGGTCTACAAGAGCTAATTCCAAAGCCACAGAGAAACTGTCTCCACAAACCAAAAGCCTGAAACTTTGTTATCCTGTAGGTGGTTTATTGTATGCATGTGTATACATATGCTTTTATGGCATAAATGTCCAGGTCAAAGGACAGCTTTGAGGAATGTTCTTAACTGACATTTCTGATAACTATTTGTCAGGAACAAAGATTGTAAGTGACCTTAGAGGGCTTAGAAACTTACTGGGAAACGGCAACACGCAATCCAGATTATAAGTAGATTAATTTATTACTACTGTTAGCAAAGTGTGCCGCACTGCAGGGAGTAGGGGGCTTTTAAAAGTAGTGACCAAAATGAGTGACACCATTCTGGTCGCTAGTTTCTTTCAGAAGTAATGGCTACTAAGGAGGGTGGAAGTTTCTTAGGCCATCACAATGGTAAAGTTGCAGTTAAGGATGGTTTGACCATTAACACAGAATCAGTATTTCAGCATGTCTAACTGTTCTCAGCAGAGATCTACAAGTACAGCTTGTTTCACAGAACTGAGGGCAAGCTTGCAACCTATTGGTAACCCTGCTCATGCTGCAGCTCAGAGCTTTGCTGCTGAGGGTAAGTATAACTGGTTTTAGAGATCCAAGGCTTTATTTCTTTGGAGTTAATTTCTGTCAAATACTAGAACCCAACCACCTGTACTCCCTGTTTCTAGACTTTGTCATGTGTACATGTACATGCTGTTATCAAGTATCCAGTGTTTATGGTGACGTTGTGAAAATTTTGTTGATGCAGGATCTTTCCAACAGCTTCTACCAGAACTCTCATCACAGGAAAGCCAACATGTTGATTTGCCAAGTATTTATAGCATTGAAGCAAGAGGTACTTCCCAGAATATGGAAACCCACAGCTCTTCTGAGCAGACTGAAGTACTACAGAATAAGAAAAGAAGTGTTCATTTTCAGTCTTCAGCAGAGAGCTTGAGTCCAGCCTACAGTTCATCTGATGATGCTGTATTTGATCAGCTACACCTGCAGCACAGCACTCCATGTGGTTCTACCTCTAGTGAGTGCTCAGGCAAACAATTAGGAAGCAGAAAAGAAATGCTGGGCTTTGAAGAGCTGTCAAGAAAAGCGGTTACAGTGTTACCAAGCCACAGACTTGCCGGAAATGAAAGTGAAGTTCTTAATCCACATGTAGAAGAAACTGACTCTAAGGGGTCTCATTCAATAAGTACTGAAAATGAAAAGTCTGTTCAGGACCCAAGAAAACTGTCTCAGCTAGCACAAGCACAGCACATCAAGAATTCTAAGTCATTTTCATTTCAGAGCTCTATTCCAGTCTGGGTAAGTGTGGGTATGTTTTGCTGATTTACTCCAAACACCTACTTTGTACTGTTGGCTGTAGTTTTCACATGCATACTATGGCTGGTGATTGGGAAGGCAGAGATGGGCAGCAAAAAGTTTAGCTTGTTCAAAGCCAGATTGAGACAGCCAGGAAAGCTTGGTGACACAAAGTAACTTACCAAGTCTTCCTTGTCCAACTGTCTAGAGGGAAAGAAGCTTAATCTAATCTAGACTTTTAATCATTACACAGGAAACAGAATCTGGCTATGGTATAATGGAAGAACCAGATCTCACTCTACTAAGTACCAGTGATATCAGCACCACTGAAACAGACCTAGCAAACCTAACTCTTGAAGAGAGAGATAGTGAAGCACAGGGCTGTTTCCAGGTAAATCACTAATTGAGAGACATAATGTTGATAGTCAAGCACAGTGGATTTTGTGTTGCCTAAGCCATTGAAACTAGTTGATTTTCAATGTGCTCAACCACAGAATCTGACAGGAAAGCCAGCTTCTTGGTACATTAAGTACCTAGGTAGCCAGAAAGGAGAAAATACGAGTGGAAGTCTTGCATACAGTGAATAAAGTGACTTTCTTAAAATTAGGCAGGTGCATCTCTACCTCCCTTACCAGAAACCTCTGGCTATGGAGCTGCATCAGAAGAGCCCTGTACACACCAACCCCAAGTGGCACCTTCAGGTAAGTCCAGTTCCATATCAGCCCATGATGTTTAAGTGAGATGAGGTTATTATAATAAAGACCTTTAAATTTACAGCCACACAGAAAAAGTCATTTATGGAGAGATCCTACCAAAGGCAGAGAGAGATGCGAAATAAAAGTCAACCCCCTCAAACAGGTTCGTCCCTGAGCCGCCTGAAGGGTGTGAATAAAGTTAGAGTATCTCTCCCTGAAGACAGAAAGACCACACAAGCCCTCATGCACCAAAGAGCACTAAGGTATATGTTATTAATTTGCTTTTAGGGTTTGGCTCTTAGTGCCCACATTAAATTCTACAAACATTTCTTACAGATTATATAGGCAGTTATCTGAGGTAAAACAGCAAAGAGAAGAAAAAGCAAAGCAAGAACTCTGTGCCCAAAATAAAGCAAGAGCAAAAGAATTTCATAAGGTGAGCAAGAACCAGTTTTTTACCCTCAGTGGCACTATTTCAAAGAAACCGGCTAAATCTAATTCTCATTCCTTCTGCAGAAAACACTAGAGAAACTCCGAGCCAAAAATACATGCTGACTTCCTATAAAAGCTGTGTAAAGCGTTTTCTTTTACTTTAATGTATAAAACTAGACAGAATTATTTATTATAAGCAATAAATTTTTATTTAAAGGGGTTTGTTGTTCTTCATCCAGGTCACATGGGTTCAAGATTTCTGAAGAGAGTTGAGAATAAGTCTTAAAATTTGTGAACTCAGGGAAATGCATGTATCTTCTCAGAAAAACACAGCACTATCAAGTGCCTGTTTTGTTCTGTGGAGAGCATCTATCTTTGGTCACAGCGTTAAGAGCTTTTGGTTTCACAGCCCAACAAGCCCTCTTTGAAATGACCTTCACTGTCTCTGTTGTAAACATACATACCTTTCCCAAAGATGCTGTCTGGTTCAGGCCTGCATGACAATATGGGAAGAGTGAGTGACTGAGCCATATAAGTTAGAAACAATCACTAGCTAACAAGAAGATGGGCAACAGAATGTCCCCAACAGGTTAACAGCTAGACAAGTAGCACATACAAAACCTAATGGGAATTTTTTTATGGTCATGTCCACAGCAAATGAGAAACTGAATTTTCTCAAAGCCTTGGTAATGACCATTATAAAAGTAACCCTGAAATGATGCCTGCCATACTAAGCTACACAGAACCCTGTCTTGAAAAACCAAAAAATAGATGACTTGCCTTTGTTTTCTCTCTCCTTGGATTAAAGACAAATTCAAAGTCTTCTACCTGTTGAAAAATGTGTTTTAAGTTTATGTGGTAAAGATTCTGTTCATTTACTATGTATACAGCACTCTGCCTTCCTGTATGCCTGCACCAGATCTCATTACAGATGGTAGTAAGCCACTATGTGGTTGCTGGGAATTGAACTCAGTCAGGACATACTGATCCGAAGGGCAGCCTGTGTTCTTAATCTCTGAGCCACTGCTCCAAGTAAATCAAGTAAAATCCACCTCCCCAAATGAAAAGCGCTAAATTCTGGTCTTCTTTAATTGTTCTTTGCAATAAATATTGTCTGAAACCATGACCCTTGGATTTATATCCTTATTTGAAATCTGGAGAGACCTACCAAATGTAGATGTTCAGAAAGGCTAATTTCACTCAGCCCACTCAGAGCAGTTGAACATTTTGCCCATCATCACAACATCATGTCATTAGTAGTGTCTTTCTACCCTGGCAGCAAATTTCACTATCTAAATGCTCCTAAATGCTGCACATTTAAAGTTAACACCTTACCAGAAGGTTTCTGGTGACTTCTTCAAACATTTTGCTTTAGGAACCTAGAATATAGAAATATTATGAAATGAATTAACATGTCTTCAAACTCAACAGCATAGCAGACATGTTACAGTCAACAGCACAACAGACAAATGTTACAGGTCTCATTGTCACCACTGTAACGTATCTACTGTGATGGAAGCATAACCTGTGTGTCAGTTTCGCCACATTAGTCAGTTCTGGACACTGACTGGCAGTGCCCATTCTTATGTTAAATGAGGCGCTGTAGAAGAACCTCATGATCCATCCATCCAGTAAAAGCAGCCATTAGCACACAAAAGTTGCCTCACCATATTAAGGTTGGCCTCTCACTTGACACCCTGAGAAAAGGAGGGAGTTCATTCAGAAGGCTGACATAAACCAGTCATTCCCCCAGAACCAATACTGCAATCAATCAACCTGACAAAGTTGCTGACTTCCACAGGGGAACCATACCCACAATAAATCCAGTATAAAACAATAACTGTATCATTAGAAATACCAGGTTTAACATGCACAAAGCAAAGCAACCAACGATGCCAGATAGTGAATTTCTATTGCACTGTCTTTTGAACACACCAACAGGAAGAACTGCTGAGTGCAGATACCATGCAGTGCCAATTCCTAAAACCCTAGACTGGTGATCCTAATGAAGAAGCTAATTATTGATTCGGTTCTAATCAGTCTTTTCGAAATAACTAACCTTCCACATGGTAAAGGGTGCTGGATGGGCTTTGGGCTGTTCTGTTTATGCAGAAGATTCATTCCTACCCCCACTGGAAAATTGCCCAAATCAAACTGTTAATTTGTCTGATTTTTCTTTTCTTTGGGCAAACACATATACCCACTTGTTTGGTTCCCTCCCTGGATATCTAACACCCTTTACTGGGGGGGGGGGGTTCTCACTGAAGCCAGAGTTCCCAGATTTGGCTACCACACCTACCTGGCTGCTAGGGTTCTGAACTGCACTGCTCTGGGACAATTATTTCCCATTTCCCAGGGGATCTCCAACTCCTAGGATAACAGGAGTGGGATATTCCCATTGATTGAGCATTTCCCAGCACTTTGATCAGGCATTGCTTCACTTACCCATATGTTTGAAGGGTTCTACTCAGTCATTCCTAGAGAATAAATGGTACACAGGACTTAAGAAAAGGATAACAGGACTTCCAATCATAAAAACTAGCCTCAAGAGCTGTGCCAGTTCTATCAGAGTTAAGTTTTAGTTCATGTCTGTATCATACAGCAGTTGAACAATTTTAATTCATCATCTGAACTGTAACCATATTTAATTTACCCAAGATACACTGCCAAACTTACCTAACACTCACAAGGCTAATGTTTATGAAGCATATGCCAGTGCCTGAGGTGTAAAACAGAAAAACCCCGACATTAGTGTTTTATAATTTTGCTAGATGTCTTGTAGTAGTTCCTCCTTTCCACAGGCCTATGAGCAGTCCTGTGAGTCGGGCAAAACACAAATTACTATATGAGGCGTTTCCAACGATGTGTGGCTACTACGGAAGCCCCATCGGGATAGACCTCAAAAAGCAATCATCCATATGAACATCTACAAGTCGAAATGTTATCTCAGAACCCTTGCCTATCTTAAGTGAAGCTCAGGGTTAGAATCTTACAGGAATACTCGTTATCACATGGTAAGATTCCTTACCAAGCTGTTCTAAGCAACAGTACATATAGTCTACTAAGTAAAACAAAGCAAATTTTCATTAAGAGGCTAGATGCATACAGTCTGATTATTAATTAGAGCATTGACTTTTTAATTACATGAGATTGTTACAATTTTTGCTCTAGTGCTATAATAGTACTACTCATGCATGCTTGAAAATGCTCTAGGATTTAGGTCTCTAAAACTGCACAAAAAATTGGCACTCAATGAAGATAAAAATGAACATGCTACTTACATAGAAACAAACACCAATGTAAAAATATCTTCAATTCTGGCTTCATAATCAACACAAGCCTTTAAAAAAAAGAATTTAGTTTTTTACTACCTACACCTTTAAATTATAGAACAAAGCTCATGAATCCCATAATTCCTTTATGCTGTCTTATATTCCTTCTTCTATGTATCAAAACTCATACTGACAATGAGTTCTGGGTTGCAAAAGAGGATTTACTTTTGCACCTGTCCAATGTGCCTTTGTCCATCAGCTGAACAAAAACATTCGCAAGTGCTACCAAATGTGGCCATAGATAGCGGACACAAAAACCAGCTACTATGAACAATGCCAATATCCTCAGCACCCTAGGGGAAGACATGCCGTTGCTTCCCTTGAGAGTTACATGTGTACCCACCCAGAAGCTGGCACACGGGCTATAGCATTGTTTGGGAGAAGGGGGGTGAAGAGGAAGCTCAGATGTAAGAGCACTCTTAGAGGATTGTGATTGGCTCCCACCACTCACAAGATGATTAATAATCATCCAACCCCAATGCCAAGTGCCCTAATACCATCTGACGCTGGGTACCAGGATGCAGTGTACCATAAACATGTATGTAAGCAAAACAGTCACGCACATATAATTCTTTATAAAGACATTACTAAGTATTAGCTTTCCCTAGTAATTTGTAGCTTCTTTCCTGGGGTGATTCAGGTTTTGTTTCTTCATCTAGTTGGCATGCAAAAGTTAACTGTAGCATGTCTTCCTATTAAGTCGCTTTTTCTGAATGTTCTTTACCTTTTTTGATGTTCACATGTACATCCCCTTTCCAGGCTCTTTCATGCTTTCTCTGTGCAGTGTCTTTGGCCTTAGCTTTTTTAGAGAGTACAGAGTCTTTCTTACTCGTCCCTTGTTCTAAATTTCTCTTAGAAAATTCTGAGTTTATTATGAAGCAAGTGTCTTCCTGTAACAAAAATCACTGTTAGGAACCATGCTCATCACTGACAGGTGATTGAGTGCTACATCTATTCCTCTAAGTTCAAATTAACACCTACAGGATTTTCTCATTTGACAGCCTCCACATCACATCAGAACAATTAAATATTCATTAAAAATATCTTAATGGGAGGTAAATAGCTCAGTGCTTAAGATAACTGGCTTCTCTTCCTTATAGAGGATAAGATTCATTTCCATCACCCGCAAGTATACCCTCTTCAGATATCAAGCATGCATATGGCATAGACATACCTGTAGGGAACCTATATGCATCAATACTAGAATTTTAAAGTCATAAGAATGGAGCCATATATAAACCTATAGCAGTAAAAGCAAACAGTGCTCACAGGTTAATTCACTGGTCGGCAGTTTCAGGGTTCATTGACATAATCTCTGGTAAAATAGGGAAATGACAGACTTCACACACACATATATATACCCATATCTGCATGCAAGAACACACATCCTACAAATATTCAAAGGTGAGGCTATAGATCAGCAGTAGGGTGCCTTGTCATAAACTTTAATGTATAGACAAACAAGGTCATGGGCTTTGATTTAAACACAAGAGCAGCAAAAGAAAAAAGTTCAGTATAAAAGGTTTCAGAGTATTTACATTCTTATGTTCCTACATTAAATTTAAATGGAATTTTAATAGGACCCACTCTATACAACTGCTAATTCCATAAATAAAAATCAGACACTTACAACCAATTTGACGTCACATTCAGACTCAGGGTTTGTTGCCTCATCTTCTGTTCTGTAACATTTAAGTAACATTATATCATGTATGAATCTTAGCTTATTTTCTGACACTGACAATGAAGAATTGATATCCTGCCAGCATCTCTCCAAATTCATGTCTTGCACATACACCTAATTTTAAACAATCCTGAATATGCTGCATGCTATACTATTTAGGCACTAACCATCAATGGATGGTTAGTCCAGCAAGGTGGCACATTGTCTTTAATCCTTGCATTTGGGAGATAAAGATTGGTACAACATCGAGTTCAAGCCCAGTCAAAGCCACATACTTGTGAAACACTGTCTCAAAAATAGTTAAATGTGGAGTAATATATTTAAAGTGGCTTTTAAAAAACATACACAAACCCAGGAACAAATTACTCCCCAGATCCAACTTACAATGGCTCTTCAATAGGAGAAAGAGGACCATCGTCATCCATGTACTTGTGTCTCCGGCTCTCAAAGTCTTCCTTTTCTAAATCTTCCCCGGCATGCATTTGTTTCAAGCATTCTTTAAGGTGGTGCTCATACTTGAGTTTTTCAATGTGGTGGAAAAATCCTCTTGCAACAGCTTGCTGCAAGTTAGAAAAGACAATTCTTAAATCATAGCGCATCAAATATTAATTATAATACAATGTTTGAAATTCTACAAGGGGCTGGCTGGACAATGGCTTGCTATATCATATGGAGCAGATTTTGAAGCACAGAAACCATGTAAATGCGGTGTACATGGTGGTTCTGTTATTCCAGATTTGGAAGCCAAAAACAGTACCCACCTAACAAGCTGACTAGAAAGACAACCTGAATTGGCAAGCTGATAGGTCTGCACATGCACACACATGAAGAGAATGACATTAATCCTGACAACAAATTCCAAACAAAGTACTCTTGACAATAAACAATTCATCAGGGTACTTGGGTTTTATCTGATTTCATATATGGGTGTTTTGATAGCTTATTTTATATCAATGTACTACTGAATGCCAGGTGACCTCAAAGACCAGGAGACAACATCACTGGGGTTACAGATGGCTATGCGTGACCATGTAAGATACTATGCATTGAACCTGGGCACTCTGGAAGATGTTAACATGTGTATCTCTCCAGTCCTTGTCAGCTTTAACTCATTGTAGTATTGCTCAATCACCAGAGAAGGTTATCAACTAACGGGACTGCTACTATTGCCTAGCCTAGATTGTCGGTCAAGAGCAACTGGGCTAAAAACGCACGTGACCAGGTAGCAAGCAGCATCTTTCATGTTTTCTCCATGCTGTTCTGGGTCATTCTAAAAAGGGCCTTTAAGAAATGATACCTGGCCGGGCGTTGGTGGCTCACACTTTAATCCCAGCACTCGGAAGGCAGAGGCAGGCAGATCACTGTGAGTTCGAGACCAACCTGGTCTACCAAGTGAGTTCCAGGACAGCCTCCAAAGCCACAGGGAAACCCTGTCTCGAAAAACCAAAAAAAAAAAAAAAAAAAGAAATGATACCTGGCCAGGCATTGGTGGCACACCCCTTTAAACCTTTATACTCAGGAGGCAGAGGCAGACATATCTTTTTGAGTTCCAGGCCAGCCTCCAAATCAATCCAGAGAAACCGTCTCGGAGAAAAAAAGATACCTGCTTACTTTGAAATGACAGGTTTGACTTGTGCTACTAAATAGAAAGTTTCATGTGGTATACTTGACAGTAGGTTAGAGACAGTAACGTGAGGGTACTTTTTGCTTATACAGACTTGGACAGACCATGACTCTCTTTTTTGTATACACACTAAAAAATTGTCAGTGCACAGTTCAAACACTGCAACTGAAGACTGGAGCAGACTTTACATAGCAAACATTATTGTAAAAGTAACCAATTGTGTTCCAGGTGGACCTCAAATATGGTGAATAATGCCTAAACCCAAAGAAACTGGAAAAACCAGGGGGAAAAGGGAGGGCAATAACCATTCCACTTAGCCTAGTGTTTACCTGCATGAGAATGACTCACCTCGTATGTTAATATTTTCTTCCACGGTAAGGGTGTTCTTCCACTTTCCGATTCTAAGAATGGAAACACAGCTCCTTTGTTTTTAATTTGCTTCACACCTATTTGTGACCTTCTAGGGTTTCTAGCATTTCTTATTCCAGGTGGTCTTTCCTTTGGTCTTAATTTTGGCTTATATTTCCTCTTTTTCCGTTTCTTTTTCTTAAACCTTTCAAAAATAGCCTTCAATGTCAATGGCCTTGGTTCTATGGAGGAGTCACTTGAGTCCGTTTCAACACTTGCAGGTGCAAAGACATGTTTTGTTGTAGGCTTTCTTCGCTTTTGTGTAGGTGAAAGAACGGCCTGTGTTTTAAATAAGCTATCAGATGAGTCATCGCTAAAAAAATAAAAAAATAAATCGCATCATCACTGAGTCGTCTCTAGAAACAACCCCCACTCACAAGTAGCAAGGCTGTACTCTCAGGCACCATGGTCTCATGGCCCTCCAGCAACCTCTTCTGAACACACGATACTGACTGTAGGCAAAGCACTCTGAGAAAATGTTAAAAATTCAAATGTACAATTCTTCCAAAGCCACGTCCCCCAAAATCATACCCTACATTTTAGAAGGGTGTGGTAAGCCTGGCCCAGTACTGAGACTGCCTCAAAAGAGCCTGAACCTGGAGACTCCATCTAGGGAGTTTACTCAAAGTTGCCTTACCTCTGATTACCAATGTCCGAGGCTCTCTCTGGTGTCGTGCAGTCAACAGAAGTCACTTCTGATTGAGCCATCACTCTGCAATTACAATTTCAGTGTCATGCACCCTCACGCAGCCTAGCATTCTAAAGAAAGGTCCAACATGCATACGCACCATGTAACTTTAGGTAAAATCCATCTAAGGATAGCCCATTTTAGATCATCTTTAGAAACCTCCAAGTAAGCCGGGCAATGGTGGCACACGCCTTGAATCCCAGCACTTGGGAGGCAGAGGCAGGGGTATCCCAGCTCAAGGCCAGCCTGGTCTAGACTCCAAAACTATAAAGAAACTCTGTCTCAAGGAACAAAAACCTCCAAGTGAGAGCACAGCAGTTTAAGTAACCTTCCAGAATTCAGCTCCCAGCACTCCCATTGGGTAGTCCCTGTTTCTAGCTTCCTGGACACTACATTTATGGCACGTACTGAGAAGTGTGGCTTTCCCACCAGCCAGCAGTGATACAGCATCACACATTCTGATGCACACCCTAGGAAGGCTGAACAGAACATCAGTTAGGGAAGCTGAGGCACACAGAGAGTGGCTAAAAAAAATTAGTGGCTCAAACGGCCAATGGGCCTGTAACCCCAACTGTACAACCCCCAGGGTGAGGCTGAGGAGTACTGGCTGCCCTTAGGTAGACAGATTAAGCTCCCAGCACCCACACGGCAGCTGTGAAGGGACTGCACCAGGCCAAGTGGTGGTGCGAGCCTTTAACCCTGGCTGGGTCTTCGTTCCAGGCCGTTCTGATCTACAAAGCTGATGCCGGGGCTGTTGTCCCACACACACACAGAGAGACTGGGGGACTAACCAGTCCTAGGGGATTCGATGTCCTCTTCTGTGGGCACATGTGGTGCAGACGTGCAGGCAAAAACACCCAAAGAAAAGGAATAAAAACGCTATCCATGGCTACACAAATCCCTAATCATAACCTTCAAGATAACAGACTTTGGATTGAGAAATACCCACTACATGAACTTTTTTTCTGGTTTTTCTGTGTAGCTTTGTCGACCAGGCTGGCCTCGAACTCTAGATATCCGCTTGCCTCTGCCTCCCGTGTGCTGAGTTATTAACTGTTTTTTTAAAGCACTTGTTTACTTTATGTAAGAGTTCTTTAGTTTCATCCACACCAGAAATGGTTGTGAACCACCACGTGGTAGCTGGGAACTGAACCTAGGTCCTCTGGAAGAGCAGCCACTGCTCTTAGCCGCTGAGCCATTTCTCCATCCCCCCCCATTGTTTTTTCACATTAACCCATCAAAACCGCAACGTACATACTTGGCCCGTTTGCACCAACGATATACCGGTGTGAAAATTCTAAGGGTAACTGCAAGCTACACTACAGCAACCCATCTGGAAGTCAATCCTACCTGCGTGTTTTCAACTTAGGAAGGCAGCACACAGCCCCGACAGGACACTAAAAAAATAAAATCAAAATTAAAAAGCCTTCCTGGCCCGGACCGGGCGCCCCGCGAAGCCCCCGAGCCCCGCCCGCTGCGCCCCATCCGGCAACAGAGCCGCCTCCGCGCGGACAGCCGCGCAAAGAGCCCTGGGCCGCGGCCTCCGAGGCCCCACCGGCCGGTCCCGCCATACCTGCGCGCCCAACGCTGAAACATCCGCCTCCGTCCTCCGCCGCGCCGAAAAGAACGCCCGTGCTCTCCGCAGCCGACTAGTGCGGGCCGAAATCTCGCGTGAGCTCGCAGCGGCGGGTGGGTACCAGAGCGCGGCTTACGTGCTAGGCGGGGCTTGTGGGTGGACTATGGAGTGGGCGGGGCTTCCGGGAGGGGCGGTACCCAGCTGGTCCCTAGGCTTCGAGCTGGCCGAGGGGAGCAGGGCCTCGAACTTGTGTAGTGAGTTTGAAAAGAAGGCATTCCTGCAAGCGTGAAGACACTGCGGGTCAGGTGAGCGTCCGTGCGCTGTGGGGGCCGAGCCCACAGCGCGCCGAGTTCCCGCTCGGAGGAAGGGTGCCAGGCGCTCTGGGCACCCCACCCTCCAGGAGTTGGCTTCCAGCAGGCCTGGGCTGCGTCCTTCAGATCCTGAGCTCACTGAACAGTGTAAGGCAGTTTAGTTGGGGTTGGTTTTTATCCCTACAGTACTTTCTTTTCAGTAGTGAGCTACTTTGGGTTATTTTCCACGCTGCACCTCTGCATTGAATGACTAGCAAGCCCGCAGAGCAGCTTGCCCTGAGGTTATTATCATTTTATGATTGGACACGCCTTAAAAGTCAAGTGTCAAGCCGGGCGTTGGTGGTGCACGCCTTTAATCCCAGCACTCGGGAGGCAGAGGCAGGCGGATCTCTGTGAGTTCGAGGCCAGCCTGGTCTACAAAGTGAGTTCCAGGACAGCCTCCAAAACAATACAAAGAAACCCTGTCTCGAAGAACCAAAAAGAAAAAGAAAAAAAAAAGTAAAGTCTTGGCTGGGCGTTGGTGGCGCACGCCTTTAATCCCAGCACTAGGGAGGCAGAGGCAGGCGGATCTCTGTGAGTTCGAGACCAGCCTGGTCTACAAGAGCTAGTTCCAGGACAGCCTCCAAAGCCACAGAGAAATCCTGTCTCAGGAAAAAAAAAAAGTAAGGTCTCTCTGTACTTGGGAGCAGTCAGTGCAATCGCTGTAATCTCCAGGACAGGACTGTCACATTCGGGGCCCATGTGTTACCAAAGGACCTGTGCAAACTCAAAATGCAGGGTCCTGTTCAAAACAAGAGACAAATAGCGGAGCACCATGGCAAATCGCAGAACTGGAGCGTCTAAGGGAGGAGGATGGCCAGGCCAGCCCAGACTACATGGCAAGACTCTGACTGGAAATATGATTTCCCCATAAGCAAGGAAAAATTGGAATTATTAGTACAAGTTTTTTTTTTTTTTTTTTTTTTTGGTTTTACGAGACAGGGTTTCCCTGTATTGTCTTGGAGGCTGTCGGTCCAGCCTGGCCTCGAACTCACAGAGATCCGCCTGCCTCTGCCTCCCCAGTGCTGGGATTAAAGGCGTGCACCACCACCGCCCGGCTATTAGTACAAGTTTTAGCGTCTTTATGCTGTGCACTGCGGATGCGTAAGAATTTAATGAGCAGCCAGGCGGTGGTGGCTCACACCCTTAATCCCAGCACTTGGGGTAAGGATTCAGGCGTTACACTGGCCTGCCCTTGTCACCTGGCAGAATCCACCCAGGCAGTGTCCTGGTCAGCCCAGGGTTCCATGTTTGTATAGTCTGCACACAGATGCAAAGGACCCCTTTAAAAGACAGACCCCTGCCCACTTACACGCAGTCTTTCCCTTGTTCCCCTGGGGCAGACAGGACTTTCCCTTTCTCCCTCTTCTGTTCTCTCTCTCTCCTCTCTTTCCTCTCTCTCGTCTCTTTACCTCCTTTCTCTTTCCTCCCTTTCCAATAAAACGTCTCATTTAAGCTCTGTCCGCCTGGCGTGTTAGTCTCTCAGCCTCACTGGGTCCTGCCCGCCATGGAACTTGCCAAGACTCGCCTCGCTTTATCCTAACACTCTGGAAGCAGAGGCAGGAGATTCTCAGTGAGTTCAAGGCCAGCCTGGTCTACAAAACTACACAGAGAAACCCTGTCTCGAAAGACCAAAACAAAACACAACTTAATGAGCATCCAGGCCTGATGGATGGTGAACGCCGTTAATCCCACCACTTGGGAGGCCGAGGCAGGCGGCTCCCAATGAGTCAAGGCTAGTCTGGTCTACAGAGTGCGTTGCAGGAAACTGTCTTGAAAAAAGAAAAGAACTTAAGAGCAGAACTGTTGTGGGGCATTCACCAGAGAAGAGTGCTCAGACATAGGTTAAAGCCAATAGGAGACTTTATTAGTCTGCCAGCAACCAACTGGGTGCTCAGGATCCCAGTGTAGCCCTGAGCCTTTGTCAGGGTGAGCTTTTAAGCACAAAAATCCTGTCGTGGTTTGACATACTCCAGTTAACATAACAGTTAACCAAGCAGAACAACAGAAGATAAAATGCAAGGTTAGTACAGTTAGAGACTGTCTTAGAGCTATGGACTTGGATGGATTAGGTCTTTGTTTTAGTTTTGGCAGGTGGCACTGTCTATGTGCTGAGTTTTACAGCCTTAATGACACTTCCATCATGGGGTCAGTTGTGCTAAGGTCTTAGGACCTACTAAGATCATAAGGCCCTGTTACAGAATCCCTGCAGTTTGGGTTCCTGCTCCCTAACTTGTACAAGTTATGTATTTGTTACTATACCTGGATCCGTGTTCCAAACTAACTTACTTGCTTTCCTTTTACTGCCTGATCTTTGCACATTTTGCCTGTAATCTGGAGTTCTGCAGTCCTGACTATCTGTGCACTCAAACATGACAAGTCTACTGTGATTAAGTTCTAAAGGGACACTGCAAACACCTTATCAAGCCCTGTCGGTGGTGGCGGTGTACACCTCCACTTCCAGCACTCAAGAGGCAGAGGCAGGCCAGCTTCTGAGCTCCAGGATAGCCAGGGTTACACAGAGAATCACCGTCTCAAAAAAACAAAAACAACCCCACCTTTTTCAATGGGTACCAGGGATGATGGAAGGCATACCTTGGCTCTGCTCATGGCTCAATATCCTGTAAGTTTTCTAACTTTAGGTAAAATCCATCTAAGGATAGCCCATTTTAGATCATCTTTAGAAACCTCCAAGTAAGCCGGGCAATGGTGGCACACGCCTTGAATCCCAGCACTTGGGAGGCAGAGGCAGGGGTATCCCAGCTCAAGGCCAGCCTGGTCTAGACTCCAAAACTATAAAGAAACTCTGTCTCAAGGAACAAAAACCTCCAAGTGAGAGCACAGCAGTTTAAGTAACCTTCCAGAATTCAGCTCCCAGCACTCCCATTGGGTAGTCCCTGTTTCTAGCTTCCTGGACACTACATTTATGGCACGTACTGAGAAGTGTGGCTTTCCCACCAGCCAGCAGTGATACAGCATCACACATTCTGATGCACACCCTAGGAAGGCTGAACAGAACATCAGTTAGGGAAGCTGAGGCACACAGAGAGTGGCTAAAAAAAATTAGTGGCTCAAACGGCCAATGGGCCTGTAACCCCAACTGTACAACCCCCAGGGTGAGGCTGAGGAGTACTGGCTGCCCTTAGGTAGACAGATTAAGCTCCCAGCACCCACACGGCAGCTGTGAAGGGACTGCACCAGGCCAAGTGGTGGTGCGAGCCTTTAACCCTGGCTGGGTCTTCGTTCCAGGCCGTTCTGATCTACAAAGCTGATGCCGGGGCTGTTGTCCCACACACACCACAGAGAGACTGGGGGACTAACCAGTCCTAGGGGATTCGATGTCCTCTTCTGTGGGCACATGTGGTGCAGACGTGCAGGCAAAAACACCCAAAGAAAAGGAATAAAAACGCTATCCATGGCTACACAAATCCCTAATCATAACCTTCAAGATAACAGACTTTGGATTGAGAAATACCCACTACATGAACTTTTTTTCTGGTTTTTCTGTGTAGCTTTGTCGACCAGGCTGGCCTCGAACTCTAGATATCCGCTTGCCTCTGCCTCCCGTGTGCTGAGTTATTAACTGTTTTTTTAAAGCACTTGTTTACTTTATGTAAGAGTTCTTTAGTTTCATCCACACCAGAAATGGTTGTGAACCACCACGTGGTAGCTGGGAACTGAACCTAGGTCCTCTGGAAGAGCAGCCACTGCTCTTAGCCGCTGAGCCATTTCTCCATCCCCCCCCATTGTTTTTTCACATTAACCCATCAAAACCGCAACGTACATACTTGGCCCGTTTGCACCAACGATATACCGGTGTGAAAATTCTAAGGGTAACTGCAAGCTACACTACAGCAACCCATCTGGAAGTCAATCCTACCTGCGTGTTTTCAACTTAGGAAGGCAGCACACAGCCCCGACAGGACACTAAAAAAATAAAATCAAAATTAAAAAGCCTTCCTGGCCCGGACCGGGCGCCCCGCGAAGCCCCCGAGCCCCGCCCGCTGCGCCCCATCCGGCAACAGAGCCGCCTCCGCGCGGACAGCCGCGCAAAGAGCCCTGGGCCGCGGCCTCCGAGGCCCCACCGGCCGGTCCCGCCATACCTGCGCGCCCAACGCTGAAACATCCGCCTCCGTCCTCCGCCGCGCCGAAAAGAACGCCCGTGCTCTCCGCAGCCGACTAGTGCGGGCCGAAATCTCGCGTGAGCTCGCAGCGGCGGGTGGGTACCAGAGCGCGGCTTACGTGCTAGGCGGGGCTTGTGGGTGGACTATGGAGTGGGCGGGGCTTCCGGGAGGGGCGGTACCCAGCTGGTCCCTAGGCTTCGAGCTGGCCGAGGGGAGCAGGGCCTCGAACTTGTGTAGTGAGTTTGAAAAGAAGGCATTCCTGCAAGCGTGAAGACACTGCGGGTCAGGTGAGCGTCCGTGCGCTGTGGGGGCCGAGCCCACAGCGCGCCGAGTTCCCGCTCGGAGGAAGGGTGCCAGGCGCTCTGGGCACCCCACCCTCCAGGAGTTGGCTTCCAGCAGGCCTGGGCTGCGTCCTTCAGATCCTGAGCTCACTGAACAGTGTAAGGCAGTTTAGTTGGGGTTGGTTTTTATCCCTACAGTACTTTCTTTTCAGTAGTGAGCTACTTTGGGTTATTTTCCACGCTGCACCTCTGCATTGAATGACTAGCAAGCCCGCAGAGCAGCTTGCCCTGAGGTTATTATCATTTTATGATTGGACACGCCTTAAAAGTCAAGTGTCAAGCCGGGCGTTGGTGGTGCACGCCTTTAATCCCAGCACTCGGGAGGCAGAGGCAGGCGGATCTCTGTGAGTTCGAGGCCAGCCTGGTCTACAAAGTGAGTTCCAGGACAGCCTCCAAAACAATACAAAGAAACCCTGTCTCGAAGAACCAAAAAGAAAAAGAAAAAAAAAAGTAAAGTCTTGGCTGGGCGTTGGTGGCGCACGCCTTTAATCCCAGCACTAGGGAGGCAGAGGCAGGCGGATCTCTCTGTGAGTTCGAGACCAGCCTGGTCTACAAGAGCTAGTTCCAGGACAGCCTCCAAAGCCACAGAGAAATCCTGTCTCAGGAAAAAAAAAAAGTAAGGTCTCTCTGTACTTGGGAGCAGTCAGTGCAATCGCTGTAATCTCCAGGACAGGACTGTCACATTCGGGGCCCATGTGTTACCAAAGGACCTGTGCAAACTCAAAATGCAGGGTCCTGTTCAAAACAAGAGACAAATAGCGGAGCACCATGGCAAATCGCAGAACTGGAGCGTCTAAGGGAGGAGGATGGCCAGGCCAGCCCAGACTACATGGCAAGACTCTGACTGGAAATATGATTTCCCCATAAGCAAGGAAAAATTGGAATTATTAGTACAAGTTTTTTTTTTTTTTTTTTTTTTTTGGTTTTACGAGACAGGGTTTCCCTGTATTGTCTTGGAGGCTGTCGGTCCAGCCTGGCCTCGAACTCACAGAGATCCGCCTGCCTCTGCCTCCCCAGTGCTGGGATTAAAGGCGTGCACCACCACCGCCCGGCTATTAGTACAAGTTTTAGCGTCTTTATGCTGTGCACTGCGGATGCGTAAGAATTTAATGAGCAGCCAGGCGGTGGTGGCTCACACCCTTAATCCCAGCACTTGGGGTAAGGATTCAGGCGTTACACTGGCCTGCCCTTGTCACCTGGCAGAATCCACCCAGGCAGTGTCCTGGTCAGCCCAGGGTTCCATGTTTGTATAGTCTGCACACAGATGCAAAGGACCCCTTTAAAAGACAGACCCCTGCCCACTTACACGCAGTCTTTCCCTTGTTCCCCTGGGGCAGACAGGACTTTCCCTTTCTCCCTCTTCTGTTCTCTCTCTCTCCTCTCTTTCCTCTCTCTCGTCTCTTTACCTCCTTTCTCTTTCCTCCCTTTCCAATAAAACGTCTCATTTAAGCTCTGTCCGCCTGGCGTGTTAGTCTCTCAGCCTCACTGGGTCCTGCCCGCCATGGAACTTGCCAAGACTCGCCTCGCTTTATCCTAACACTCTGGAAGCAGAGGCAGGAGATTCTCAGTGAGTTCAAGGCCAGCCTGGTCTACAAAACTACACAGAGAAACCCTGTCTCGAAAGACCAAAACAAAACACAACTTAATGAGCATCCAGGCCTGATGGATGGTGAACGCCGTTAATCCCACCACTTGGGAGGCCGAGGCAGGCGGCTCCCAATGAGTCAAGGCTAGTCTGGTCTACAGAGTGCGTTGCAGGAAACTGTCTTGAAAAAAGAAAAGAACTTAAGAGCAGAACTGTTGTGGGGCATTCACCAGAGAAGAGTGCTCAGACATAGGTTAAAGCCAATAGGAGACTTTATTAGTCTGCCAGCAACCAACTGGGTGCTCAGGATCCCAGTGTAGCCCTGAGCCTTTGTCAGGGTGAGCTTTTAAGCACAAAAATCCTGTCGTGGTTTGACATACTCCAGTTAACATAACAGTTAACCAAGCAGAACAACAGAAGATAAAATGCAAGGTTAGTACAGTTAGAGACTGTCTTAGAGCTATGGACTTGGATGGATTAGGTCTTTGTTTTAGTTTTGGCAGGTGGCACTGTCTATGTGCTGAGTTTTACAGCCTTAATGACACTTCCATCATGGGGTCAGTTGTGCTAAGGTCTTAGGACCTACTAAGATCATAAGGCCCTGTTACAGAATCCCTGCAGTTTGGGTTCCTGCTCCCTAACTTGTACAAGTTATGTATTTGTTACTATACCTGGATCCGTGTTCCAAACTAACTTACTTGCTTTCCTTTTACTGCCTGATCTTTGCACATTTTGCCTGTAATCTGGAGTTCTGCAGTCCTGACTATCTGTGCACTCAAACATGACAAGTCTACTGTGATTAAGTTCTAAAGGGACACTGCAAACACCTTATCAAGCCCTGTCGGTGGTGGCGGTGTACACCTCCACTTCCAGCACTCAAGAGGCAGAGGCAGGCCAGCTTCTGAGCTCCAGGATAGCCAGGGTTACACAGAGAATCACCGTCTCAAAAAAACAAAAACAACCCCACCTTTTTCAATGGGTACCAGGGATGATGGAAGGCATACCTTGGCTCTGCTCATGGCTCAATATCCTGTAAGTTTTCTAACACAGTTCAAATGGAAAGTTGTTGGCCTAGACTTATAGGGAGCTTGCTAGTATGCATGGCCTTGAGTTCAATCCCCCCCCAAAAAAGAAAAAACAAAAAACCCCAACCTGTCTGTGTAGTTTGATACATGTAGATTTGTATGAATATGTCTGTGTAGTTTGATACATGTAGATTTGTATGAATATGTCTGTGTAGTTTGATACATGTAGATTTGTATGAATATGGGATCCTGTGTCTGACTGTACGGTTTGCATAGCTGTGAAGCCAGACATGTGCTTGAACCTTACCAGTCTGGTATATCATAACTGCATAATGGTTAACTAATAGAGCACCCACTGTGTGCCGTATTCTAATAGAGCACCCACTGTGTGCCGTATTCTAATAGAGCACCCACTGTGTGCAGCATTCTAATAGAGCACTCACTGTGTGCAGTATACTTGGAAGAGACGATGAAGCCTAAGCAAGACCAGATGTGGTCGGTGCTGCAGGTTCGCTCGGAACACATTCCTTTTGTTAGGGGAAGGGCCCACTTCACTGCTGGTTCAGCCTGGGAGAGGGGCGCAGGCTGGCTTTACAGGGCTGCTTTTGAGTTTGTTGTGGTTGCTGTTGTTTGACACAGGTCTCTCTATGTAGCCCTACCTGCCCTCGAACTCAGTGTGTAAATCAGACTGGCCTGGAACTCACAGAGACCATCCTGCCCCCGCCCCCGCCCCCGGCAGGATTGTGTTCCTGGCATGCCTGAGGCCCTGGTTCCATCTCAGTACTGAACAAATGGAAATGGAAAAGACAGATTCAACTATAGTATTAAGCTGAGGCCCTGGGTTCTACATACAACACTGCCAGGAAGGAAGGAGGACGGGGAGAAATAGAAAAATGGACTAAAAGGAAGAGAGGACAGTAGGAACGAGGTCCCTCACCTGTCACGTGGAATGGACATGATGTTGTGTCTGGGGCTCTAAGGGAAGCTTGGCGCACTTTGCCCTCCTTACATAAGTGAACTCTGAGGACATGGAACCTCTGTGGCCTTTGCCTTCATCAAGTAACTGGACTCTATTATGCATTTCCAGAACCCCCAAGGACTGTTTGTGCTGGTGCCGTGTGAACTCTCGTGATAGTTAGCCAGCAGCTGTGTTTGAGCAGCCTTGCTTGGAAGAAAGAAAATGGCTTGTATTGAGTTTTCTTTTCATGTGCCAAGTCTGGAGGAGCTTGCTGAAGGTAAAAATGTTAGCCTTGGGATCTTTTAATTTATTTTTTATGTATATTGGTGTTTTGTCTGTTTGCTTGCCTGAGAGTGTCTGATCTTGGAGTTACAGGCAGATGTGGGCTGCTATGTGGGTGTTTGGAGTTGAACCCAGGTGCTCTGGAAGAGCAGCCAGTGCTCTTAACCTCTGAGCCATCTCTCCAGACTAGCCTTGGGATTTTATGGACTGTTCCAGGGGAAAAAAAAAAACCAAAAGATCCCTGAGATACATATGTAGCTAATTACCTATCTGTATCTTATTGAAATGGTACTTTTGATACAGAAATTTCCATTTCATGTCTGTTCAGTATTTTTATTTCTCTAATTCAAAATCCTGTATCTCAAAAAATAAAGGAACCTTTAATATTTTATGTATGTTATTTATAAGCATTTACATTTACTAGCCCATCTGATCTTAACAAAATAGAAATAGTTTAATTTCAAGATTCTTAGCATGACACAGAACTGCATATAATACCTTAAAATCCAGTCCTCCTTTTTTAACTTCCTGGGACTGTGTGTGTGTCCGGGCGGTGCTTGTGGCAGGTTTGCGGCTGCTGCCCGTGACCCAGCGGTCATGAGTCGGCCCAGCCGGCTGCAGAGGCAAGTTTTGAGCCTGTACCGAGAGCTGCTGTGTGCCGGGCAGGGGAAACCGGGCGCCGAGGCACGGGTGCGAGCCGAATTCCGGCAGCACGCCAGCCTTGCGCGCTCCGACGTGCTGCGTATCCGAGTATCTGTACCGCCGGGGAAGGCGCTAGCTGCAGCTGCTGCGTTCCGGCCACGCCACGGCCATGGGTATCTTCGTGCGCCCTTGGGACCCGACTGAGGAACCCGGCGACGCGGCAACCCTAGGGACCAGCTGGACGATAGCGATGGCCCAAAGAGTCCTTGTGAAGGCACAGAGCCGCAGGAGACGCGATCCGATAGATGGTGACAGACCCAGAGAAGGGTCCCTCCGGACAGTTGGGGGAAGATCGGGAGCTCATCTGATGCAAAGCGAGCTAGATGTCCAGAGAGGCAGCCAAACCTTCCTGATGCACCGTGAAAGATCAGACACGCCCTCACCAAGAAGGGTCCAGGCGTGCTGTGGCACCCAGGCTGCACCGTGCACGCTGTGATGCACCAACCCAAAGTCCAAGAGGGCGCAAACGCACCACCTCCTCCCCACGGACGAGTGGGAGCGAGACTTCTGAGAACACACCCACCCCGCGCTCCATTGTTGTTTCTAACGCGGAGAGAAGCAGACTTTTGCCTGAGCAAGTTTAATAAAATGCCCTGATGAGCCGAGAGAAACTTGTAGTTGGGTTTGGAAAACCGTTGTTCCTCGCATTGTGACAAGCCAGGATGATAAGGGAGGGTTTACAGTAGCTCATCCCAGCTGATCAGCCAAAGACTCCTGGGGTGGTTCTAAGAGGCAGTCCCTACTCCCGCTAGTCATCCTCAGGATCCTTGTATAAAGGGAATAAATGTGAGATGTGCTTAAAAAAATAAAATAAAATCCAGGCCTCTCTACATATTGACACGTTTTAAAGTTTTGAAAGATGATTATAGATAAATTCAAAATTCTTTTTGTTCCTAGCCCTAGTGCTGGTTCCTTCTCGGCTTATTCTCCTAGAAGTAACCATCATGTAACATTTACAGTGATGTTGTTGCTACCACCTTTATGCAATGAAAATTAGCAGGGGAGAGGTGCAATTTTTTTTTTTTTTTTTTTGGTTTTTCGAGACAGGGTTTCTCTGTAGCTTTGGAAGCTGTCCTGGAACTCACTTTGTAGACCAAGCTGGTCTACAGAGATCCGCCTGCCTCTGCCTCCCGAGTGCTGGGATTAAAGGCGTGCGCCACCAACTCCCAGCGGAGAGGTGCAATATTAACAATATTCTTTATACAGTCTGCTGGGGCTGGAGAGAGAGTGGTTAAGAGCACTGGTTAAACTCAGGTGATCTTGGTTCTGTCTCCAGAAGGCACATGGCAGCTCATAGTTGTTTGTAATTGTCAGTTCTAGGGGATTCAGTGCCCTCTCCTATCCTCCTTCAGCACCAGACACACAGATGGTGCACAGACATACATGCAGGCAAAACACTCACACATTAAAATAAATAAATAGGTTAAGATACATTGAGTATTGATCACAGTCTACTGTTGAGTATTGATCATAGTCTACTGTTGAGTATTGATCATAGTCTACTACTGAGTATTGATCATAGTCTACTGTTGAGTATTGATCACGGTCTACTGTGGAGTATTGATCACAGTCTACTGTTGAGTATTGATCACAGTCTACTGTGGAGTATTGATCATAGTCTACTACTGAGTATTGATCATAGTCTACTACTGAGTATTGATCATAGTCTACTGTTGAGTATTGATCATAGTCTACTGTGGAGTATTGATCACAGTCTACTGTTGAGTATTGATCACAGTCTACTGTTGAGTATTGATCATAGTCTACTGTGGAGTATTGATCACAGTCTACTGTGGAGTATTGATCATAGTCTACTGTGGAGTATTGATCATAGTCTACTACTGAGTATTGATCATAGTCTACTGTGGAGTATTGATCATAGTCTACTGTGGAGTATTGATCATGGTCTACTGTGGAGTATTGATCATAGTCTACTGTGGAGTATTGATCATAGTCTACTGTGGAGTATTGATCATAGTCTACTACTGAGTATTGATCATAGTCTACTGTTGAGTATTGATCATAGTCTACTGTTGAGTATTGATCACAGTCTACTGTTGAGTATTGATCATGGTCTACTGTTGAGTATTGATCATAGTCTACTGTGGAGTATTGATCATAGTCTACTGTGGAGTATTGATCATAGTCTACTGTGGAGTATTGATCACAGTCTACTGTGGAGTATTGATCATGGTCTACTGTGGAGTATTGATCATAGTCTACTGTGGAGTATTGATCATAGTCTACTACTGAGTATTGATCATAGTCTACTGTTGAGTATTGATCATAGTCTACTGTTGAGTATTGATCACAGTCTACTGTTGAGTATTGATCATGGTCTACTGTTGAGTATTGATCATAGTCTACTGTGGAGTATTGATCATAGTCTACTGTGGAGTATTGATCATAGTCTACTGTTGAGTATTGATCACGGTCTACTGTGGAGTATTGATCACAGTCTACTGTTGAGTATTGATCACAGTCTACTGTGGAGTATTGATCATAGTCTACTACTGAGTATTGATCATAGTCTACTACTGAGTATTGATCACAGTCTACTGTTGAGTATTGATCATAGTCTACTGTGGAGTATTGATCACAGTCTACTGTTGAGTATTGATCACAGTCTACTGTTGAGTATTGATCATAGTCTACTGTGGAGTATTGATCACAGTCTACTGTGGAGTATTGATCATAGTCTACTGTGGAGTATTGATCATAGTCTACTACTGAGTATTGATCATAGTCTACTGTGGAGTATTGATCATAGTCTACTGTGGAGTATTGATCATGGTCTACTGTGGAGTATTGATCATAGTCTACTGTGGAGTATTGATCATAGTCTACTGTGGAGTATTGATCATAGTCTACTACTGAGTATTGATCATAGTCTACTGTTGAGTATTGATCATAGTCTACTGTTGAGTATTGATCACAGTCTACTGTTGAGTATTGATCATGGTCTACTGTTGAGTATTGATCATAGTCTACTGTGGAGTATTGATCATAGTCTACTGTGGAGTATTGATCATAGTCTACTGTGGAGTATTGATCACAGTCTACTGTGGAGTATTGATCATGGTCTACTGTGGAGTATTGATCATAGTCTACTGTGGAGTATTGATCATAGTCTACTACTGAGTATTGATCATAGTCTACTGTTGAGTATTGATCATAGTCTACTGTGGAGTATTGATCACAGTCTACTGTTGAGTATTGATCACAGTCTACTGTTGAGTATTGATCATAGTCTACTGTTGAGTATTGATCACAGTCTACTGTGGAGTATTGATCATAGTCTACTGTGGAGTATTGATCATAGTCTACTACTGAGTATTGATCATAGTCTACTGTGGAGTATTGATCATAGTCTACTGTGGAGTATTGATCATGGTCTACTGTGGAGTATTGATCATAGTCTACTGTGGAGTATTGATCATAGTCTACTGTGGAGTATTGATCATAGTCTACTACTGAGTATTGATCATAGTCTACTACTGAGTATTGATCATTGTCCCAAATATACTTTGCCCTGCCTCCTCATTCACAGGTTGTCAACTCACTTAAATTTGTCTGTGGATATTTCTTATGCTTTGTTTATCTTGTTCAAACAAGATTTTAAGAAGTAGAGAAGAAAAGAGATGGATGAGTGCGCAAAAGGGAGCCCAGAAGGTTTGCACTCAAGCCTTTGGTGTCTCAGGATCTACCTTGTCCTCGATGTGGTTAGGTTCCGTTCTGTGGTAACCTGTCTCTATGAATGTCCCTTACTTCTCACAGTAGGCTGTCTGGTAGTTAACGTGTTCTTGAAGAGACTGAACCAAACATGTACCTGCTTTTTTATTGCTTTCTCCTTATAATATATTTTTGAGCCTTAACAATGTATCGCTCATAAGATGAATTTAGGTGCTTGCAGCACAAACATGACAACCTGAATTCCATCCCTCAGATGAAAGAAGAGAACCAACCCCCACAAGTTGATGTCTAATCTCTACATGCATCTTAGCTTGTACATGTGTGTGTGTGTGTGTGTGTGTGTCCCACGTACCTGTGTGTGCACAGCCTATAAGTCAATGAAGTACATATATTTCTGTTAAATAGATCTGCACTGTAGCAGTCTCCCTTCATAGCCATAGAAGAGTCTGTTCTTGTTGGCCAAGCTGTCACTCATTTAATTGGTATCAGATTCTAGCTTTCACAAGTATCATTCTTCACTGGCAAGGAGCTGTGGGATGCCAGGTTATTGGACATACTTTTATGAATTATTATTAAAATGTCTCTTGAACAGAGTCAGGAAGATCTCTGACTTTGAGTCCAGCCTGGTCTATGTAATGAGTTCCAGGACATCCTGGGCTACATAGTGAGACATCCCTGTCTCAAAAAAACCGAGTAAAATAAAGTCCTAGAAGAAAAAAGCTCTGGAGTGTTAAGGCACTATGCTTTTCTATGTTTGTAGTATGGCATAACGTGCCTACAATGCAGTATTGCATCTGCAAAATGTGAGCACCTGTACTTATGTATGGTGGTTTGAATAGTAATGGTCCCCAGATACTCGGGTGTTTGAATACGTGGCCCATAGGAAGTGCCACTGTTAGGAAGTGTGGCCTTGCTGGAGAAAGGGTGTCACTATTGGGGTGGGCTTTAAGGTCTCAGAAGTCAAACCAGTTCTCTGCCTGACGCCTGTGGATTCGTCATCTGTAGAACTGTCAGCTATTCCAGCCAGCAGCGTGTCTGCCTGACGCCTGTGGATTCATCTGTAGAACTCTTGGCTCCTATTCCAGCAGCGTGTCTGCCTGCATGCCACTGTGTTTCCTTCTGTGACAGTCATGGACTGGACCTTGAAACTGTAAGCCAGTCCCAATTAAATGTTTTCATTCATAGAGCTGCCATGGTGTGTCTTCACAGAAGTAAAACTCTAACCAAGTAACTGCCATTCAGAGCAGAATATATATCCAGTACCCTAGTAGGCTCCCTCATGGGCCTTCCGGTCAGCCTGCCTATCCCCAGAGGTTACCATTATCCATCACCTTTGACACAAAGGGAGGTCACGCAGTGTCTACTCTTGTGTCTGGCTGGTGTGGCTGGAGGTCTCCTGTGTTGTTTTTATCTGCCTACACAGCCGCTGATGCCTCCCTGCTGATGATGCAGCCGAGGGAGCCTGCACACCCTGGTGCTGCTGTCTCCGCCACCTCCACGCAGAAAGGCAGATGCTGTTTTTTTTTTGTTGTTGTTGTTGTTGTTTTTGTTTTTATTTTACGAGACAGGGTTTCTCTGTATTGTTTTGGAGGCTGTCGGTCCAGCCCAGCCTCGAACTCACTGAGATCCGCCTGCCTCTGCCTCCCGAGTGCTGGGATTAAAGGCGTGCGCCACCAACGCCCAGCTGGCAGATGCTGTTTTAACCAGGGCTCTCTTTTTGTTTTACCAATAAAGACTCTGGAGCCAGATGCTGGGGTGAGAACCTGCTAGCTCAGAGAGGCAGAGAAAGCATCCAGCTTACCTTCCTGACCTTCCTCCTCCACCAACTTCTCAGAAAGAGACTTTTCTCCTGTCCTGTCTGAAACAAAAACTCCTCTAACCAGTTGCCCCTCCCTTCTGCTTCCTGTGCCTCTCTCTCTGGCCTACTGACTTCCCCTTACTCTGTGGTTACCTCCAGTCAACTGGTTGCTTATTCTGCCTTTTGACCTATGGTCAGTTTTCTTTAAATATCACAATTTTGGGGTTACAATGTGATGAAATATCCCGCAACACTTGTCTGTAACTCCACTAGATATTTGGCTTGAAATCCTTTCATTAGGTTTGTTTTGTTTTAATTCCTCGAGGGAAGCTAGCCTTTACCTGTGTGCAGTCAATTTCCCTTCTTCATGCCCTAGCTACTGCTCTACTGCTGTGACAAGACACCATGACAAGACATGAGAACTGTCCTTCACATTATAAAAAAAGAGAGACATCCCCAGGGCTTAGTGAAGGCACCAAGGCAACTCGTTTAAAAGAAAGCATTTAACTGGGGTTTGCTTTCAGTTTTTCAGGTTTTTGACCATCATGGTGGGAAGCAGACAGGCATGAGAGCTTTCCTGATCGGCAGGCAGAGGCAGAGAGACAGGACCTAACAAGCAAGGGCTTTTGAAACTTCGAAGCCCACTCCCAGTGTCACACCTCCTCCAGCAAGGCCACACCTTCTAATCCTTCCCTAACAGGTCTACTCCCGGTAACTAAGCATTCAAATCTATGCACCTATGGGGGCCATTCTTCTATAAACAGCTGCACCAAGGTTAGTAATTATAGGTATTTATATGTCATAGAATACATTATATCCTGGACCATGTCAAAATCTAATTTTATCCATCAGTAAAGCCACTGATGGTTGGTGGTGCAGGTCACTGGTAGACTATGTGCTTTGCTGAAGCCCTGGGTCCATCCTCTTTTTGTTTTGTTTTTTTGGGTTTTTGTTTGTTTGTTTGTTTGTTTGGCTTTTCATGACAGAGTTTCTTTGTGTATCCCTGGCTGTCCAGAAACTCACTCTGTAGGTCAGGCTGGTCTTGAACTCAGAGATCCACCTGCCTCTGCCTCCCAAGTACTGAGATTAAAGGCACACACCACCATCCCTGCCCATCCCCTTTTTTTAATAGTAAGTTTGGTTTTGAGTCTAAAAAAGAAACTTTGAAGGAAGACTTAGTATATGGTGGTCAAGTTTTTATCTAATGTTAAATAACTCCTTTGCATGTCTTTTACTAGTTTTGCAGAAGGGACTGAAGGACAACTTTGCTGATGTCCAGGTCTCTGTGGTTGACTGCCCAGATTTAACAAAGGAGCCATTTACCTTTCCTGTAAAAGGTACGTTGTTGTCTTTAAAAAAAAACAAGTTTTGGTTTTCAGACTCTTTCAGAAGCCAGTATTATTTTCCTCTATGAATAAAGGCTGTTATTAAAACTTTCAGGCACAGTTTAGCTAATTTCTGTGGTTCAGATTTCATTGTATGCCCTCAGATGTGTTCATAACCCTTGGTGGTTTGGTTATATAACATGCTTAGTAGGCTAAGATTTGACAGCATAAGAATTTTGTTCTTAACGTCCCAAGTGACTTATAAAAACTTCTGTTAGGGGCCTAGAAAGATGGCTCAGAGATTAAGAGTACTGACTGCTCTTCCAGAAGCCCTGAGTTAAATTCCCAGAAACCATGTGGTAGCTCACAACCATCTACAATGAAATCTGGTGCCCTCTTCTGATGTGCAGGCATACCTGAAGGCAGAACACTGTTTACATAATAAATAAATACATCTTAACGACAACAACAACAAAACTTCCTTTAAGTTTTGGTTGCATTATTTATTCAAGCTCAGAAAGTATCTTAAGAGGCCTATACTGGGGGCTGGAGAGACGGCTCAGCAGCTAAAAGCACTTTTGCTCTTTTAGAGAACTCTGGGTTTCCAGCACCGACATCAAGTAGCTCACAGCTGCCTGTAACTCCAGCTCCAGGGATCCAAGGCCCTCTTCTAGACTCCAAAGGAGTCTGCATTCCTGAGCACATATCCCCACACACACACACATCATATACATGATTTAAAATTAAATAAGCCCCTTTTTAGGTGTATATTTGATTCATCTATTAAATGTTTAGACCCTTCAAGTTTGAAGTGAGAAGAGGGAGGATTGAATACTTGTTGGGTAAAACACTCTGCATGTGACAGACTGGATTAGACACACTGTGGTAGCAGCACTCCCAGGTAAGGGCTAGCTCCAGCTCATTGATGGGAAAATGAGCTTACAAGAGGCTAGCAAACTCAGGGTCAGTCATAATCAAGGCCAAATGCAGGTGTGGTCAAAGTTTAACCTTAAACTTTGCCCTCTGGTGATGAAGGTGGCACGTGCCTTTAATCCCAGCACTTGGGAGGCAGAGGCAGGCAGGCAGATCTTTGCGAGTTCAAGGCCAGCCTGATTTACAAGAACTAGTTCCAGAATAGCCTCCAAAGCCACAGAGAAACCCTGTTTCAAAAAACCAAAAAAGGAAAAAAAAAACATGCTTTTTTTTCTGTTTCTTTTATTATGTTAATTGGCATATTTGGTTAAAAGTAATCTGCTTGGAACTCTTAGATGCTAGTCCTGCCTCTTGTGTCTACTAATTCAACACCTGAACTAAGCCCCACAATGTACCACATCTTTACATCCTTAGACATATTAAATATGAAAGTTCAGCTTCCTGTTGGGAAGGGGGAGGACAGTCTTCTAACAGTCTGGGATTATAAATAGAGCAGATGGCAGTCTCTTTTGACACCTTGAAACCATGAGAGACAAGCTTGAAAACATTTATTTTATGTGTGCTAGTGTTTTGTCTGCAGGTGTGACTGTGCACCTTGTGCATGCCTGGTGCCTATCGAGGACAGAAAAGGACACAGATGCTCACATGTGCTCACAGATGCTCACATGTGCTCACAGATGCTCACAGGTGCTCACAGGTGCTCACAGGTGCTCCGAGACTGGAGTCAGACTGGAGATGCATGGGTGCTGGGAACTGAACCCAGGTCTTCTGGAAACGTAGTGTCCATGCTCCTGACTGCTGAACCATCTCTCCAGCCCCCCTTCAACCCTGTGAATGAGCAAACTAAAGTCCCCTCTTGTTTCTTCTCCCATGTAATCAATCTGTGGGTTCTGATTTTCACTTTGGAAAGAGTCGTTTGTTTCTCTAGCTGCCCTTCTCTGTATAGCAGACTCTCTGTGATGCTTTTTCCAGAGTCCTTTCCCACTGCCTCCACCTGTTTTGTATAATCTTCTGAATTTTTCATCTAATCTTTTCATTTCAACCAGGATCTAGCCCCTGTGAAATCTGTCTCAACGAGCTCTCTAGGAGTTGTCAGCTGTGTGTAGCATATCTCTGCCCGTGGCTCCCTTCTTACCTTTCCCGACAGCTAAGAGCCTGTAGGAGCTCCACCAGCCATCAGCGTCTCTGTGTCTCAATGCACAATCTGTGGATAATGTCTGCTCCTCCCCAAACACAGAAGGCAGGCACCTGTAAGACTGCATCTCTCCTCTATAACAGTAGGGCGATGACATGTATTTCAAGGAATGATATCCTTGCAAGACTTCTCAAGTAAAAGATAATTTCTACTCTTGCTTTAAGAAGTGCCTTCTCCAAAATCGTGTCCCACCTCATTGTTATAATAATTACTTAAAATGCAGGTAGAGGGGCTGGCAAGATGGTTCAATAGGTAAAGGCCTTTGCCGGCAAACCCAATGGGCTGAGTCTGATCCCCAGAATCCATATGGTAGAAGGGGAAGACTCTCACCCGTTGTCCTCTGGCAAGCACCACCACACACACACAAAAGAAATGCAATGAAGACAAAATGTAAGTAGAGGGAGGGGCTAGAGAGATGACGGCTCTGTGGGTAACAGCTCAAGCACGAGGACCCGGGTTCAGATCCCCACACACATAAAACCCTGAAGTAGCCATGTGTGCCTATAACCCCAGCACTCTGGGGTAGACACAAAAGGTTGCTGGGGCTTGCTCACAGGTCCTGTGAAAGACCCTCAAGGAATAAGGTAGAGCAAGTCTCTGGCTTCTACTTGTGGCATACATGTGCGGTATAGGCACATAGACACTTACATATATTGTACATACATACAACACACTTGGATATATACACATACACATAAAATTGATCACTTAATAAATAAAATGTAGCTGGGCAATGGTAGCACACGCCCTTGATCCCAGCGCTCAGGAGGCAGAGACAGGCGGATCTCTGTGAGTCCGAGGCCAGCCTGGTCTACAAAGTTCCAGAACAGCTAGGGCTGTTACACATAGAAACCCTGTCGAAAACTAAAAAAAATTAAAATTAAAATTAAAATGTAAGTAGACAACTGGAGGAGGGGACAGCTTAATGGTAGTGTTTTTAGCCCTGGGTTCAGTCCCTTCCACAAAACAACAGAATATTTGGGGGCTGGAGAGATGGCTCAGAGGTTAAGAGCACTGACTGCTCTTCCAGAGGTCTTGAGTTCAATTCCCAGCAACCACATGGTGGCTGACAACCATCTACGACTCAATCTAGTGTATATGTAATAAATAAATAAATCTTAAAAAAAACAACAGAATACTACACAACTATAGATAAATACACATCCTAGCATCCAAAGGTTATCTATTTGTCTATACAACTCAAAAAAAAATTCTCAGTATGGATCTAAAAGAACAAAATTCTACCAAAGCAAAATGTTTTGAAATTTTAAATGTAATTTATGCCAAAAAAGAAGATTTTTTAAAAAATGAAAATGCCCTTGGTGAAGGGAGATTTTTAAGGGATTAGACAGATGAATTCTAGAAATTTCACCCAAAAGTTGACCCCTGCCCTCTCAATAACCAGTTGTCAGTATACCATCAGCCGCCAAGTCGCAATGGGTGATGTCAGTGGAGTTGAAGCAGGACCAAGCAGGGACCACGTTCATCTTTTCATCTCTGTTAGTTCCAACACTGAGGTTCTTACATCTGTTCCTACTAAGTTCGTGTCTTCTGGAATCTATACTTGAATGATATGTTTGCATGCTTTTAAGATGGCTTGTGTTTTCTAGGCATCTGTGGGCAAACTAGAATTGCAGAAGTAGGAGGTGTGCCTTACTTAATGCCTCTTGTAAACAAAACAAAAGTAAGTATGCTTTTATTCTTTGTAGTCACAGACTATAGAAACTGGGTTGACTCCTGTCTGTCACCAAGGCCACCGGTGAATGTTGCTGGCAGGCAAGGAAGCAGTGGACTGTTGTAAAACATAAATCAGGAAATTGTTGTATTACAGCTCCAATAACTTCTTCATTTTTATAGGTTTATGACCTAAATGAGATTGCAAAAGAAATAAAGCTGCCTGGAGCTTTTATCCTTGGAGCAGGGGCTGGTCCATTTCAGACACTTGGATTCAATTCTGAGGTCAGTATGTATAGCGTTGTTAATTTGTTCACATGACCTTTCAGTTATTCAATGGCCTGTCAAAATCTGCTTTTAGCTGGGAGTGGCAGCTCCTCCATGTACTTGTATCACTTAAGAGGCTGAGGCAGGAAGACTGTGCAAGTTCAAGGCCATCGTGGGCTGCATAGTGAATTCCAAGCCAGTCTGGGTTATAGAAGGGAGAACCTGTCTCAAAGAAAAAAACAAAACCACCTTCTTTTTGAGTGAATTGTTTTTTTGTTTTTTTGTTGTTTTTTTGTTTTTGGTTTTTCGAGACAGGGTTTCTCTGTGGCTTTGGAGGCTGTCCTGGAACTCACTTGGTAGTCCAGGCTGGTCTCGAACTCACAGAGATCCGCCTGCCTCTGCCTCCCGAGTGCTGGGATTAAAGGCGTGCACCACCAACGCCCGGCTCTTTTTGAGTGAATTGTAAATAGCTGATGACTCTCCAGATTTGGGCAAGTGGATACTCCAATTGACCCAATGCTAATGAAGCCTACCTTTACTTTATAGTTTTTTAGGGGACAGATTAAGCCAAAAGGGTAGGTAGGTAGGTAGGTGTGTGTGTGTGTCCTTGTTTGGGGGAGGGGGGTTGTTTTTGGTTTTTAAAGACAGAGTTTGCTATGTAGCGTTGGAGAGCCTGACCTGAAACTAGCTCTTGTAGACCAGGCTGGTCTCCAACTCACAGAGATCCGCCTGCCTCAGCCTCCTGAGTGCTGGGATTAAAGGTGTGTGCCACCACCACCCGGCTGGTGTCCTTGTTTGTTGAGGCGGAATCAGGCTGCGGAGTCCACACTGGCCTCAGATTCACAATCCTCCTCCAGTTCAGTTCTGGGATTGCCGTGTTCACTGCACACTGTTGTGCCCGAGTTGTGAAGTCCCCAGAAACCACCAGAAAAACAGACTCGCTAAACTGCAAAAGCAAGGTTTAATGATTGTTCATCCACCCATGACAGGGACCCCGTTTAGCAAGCGGACGCAGCAGCCTCCAGAGGGAGTGACGTTCCCTGTCTACTGCTAGGTTTTAAAGACAAAAGTTACAGAATTGCTGGGCGTAGGTGGCGCACGCCTTTAATCCCAGCACTCGGGAGGCAGAGGCAGGCGGATCTCTGAGTTGGAGGCCAGCCTGGTCTACAAGAGCTAGTTCCAGGACAGCCTCCAAAAGCCTCGGAGAAACCCTGCCTCAAAAATCAAAAAAAAAAAAAAAAGTTACAGAATTACATCAGTAGATATGGGATGGTTTCTGATTGGTTGACATTTGGGAATAATCAGGAGAATTTCTCAAAGTCATATTTTGGCATGAAATACCTGTGTACCAATTATTTTCATTGGTCAGTGCTGAGAGGGAACATTCTGTAGTTTCTATGGCTATTTGCAGGTGGCCTGTTGTACATAGATACCAATAGTTTTCAGAACTTTATCTTGAGGACTACAGTTTGAGGTCAGCCTGATCTAATAGCTAGCCAGGATCACAGAATATGACCCTATCTCAAAATATAATTAATTAAATAAGAAGACATTTTGTCAGGTGTTGTGATAGACACAGTAATACCAGAATTGAGGCAAGAGGATTGTATCTAAATTTGTAAGTCCCATGCCAGTTTAGCCTTCATAGCAAGTTACTAGGATATTCAGCAAGAGTTGTCTCCAACTCTTTTATAAAACTGGTGGCGGTGGTGGCGCATGCCTTTAATCCCAGCACTCAGGAGGCTGAGGCAGGCAGATCTCTGTGAGTTCGAGGCCAGCCTGGTCTACAAGAGTGAGTTCCAGGACAGCCTCCAAAGCCACAGAGAAGCCCTGTCTCAAAAAAAGAAAAAGGAAAACACAAACTAACCCTGGGGATGGCGAGAGAAGTGGCTCAGGGGTTCAGTGGCTGCTCTTAGAGGACCCAAGCTCCGTTCCCAGCACCCACATGGCAGCTCACAACCATCTGTACCTCCAGGTACAGGGATCCAGTGCTTCCTCTGCCTCTGTGAGCACCAGTTATGCTACACATAGGTGCAGGCAAAACACTCACACACACAAAATAAGTGACTCTACATTCAAAAACCGTATTAGAAGATGGTTGTGTTAGATTTCCACAGCCGAGACAAAATAATGGAAATAGACAG